CGGGTCAGATCAGGTAATACCCTCAGGGCGGGTTCAAATTGTCATCACTATTTGCTTTAAGAGAAGCTTATCGAAAATGGAAAATTGAGAGAGAATGGAGAGAGGCACTTGGAATGTGAATAGAGGAAGGGTTGTGAATTTAATGGAAAATTACTGCATGGTACCTTAATTTAAATGATATTTTGGTCCATGAAATATCATAATGTTTCATTATACACCTATTTTTTTTTAATGTATTAAAACGGGTCAATCGGGTTGACCCCCAATTCAACCAGTTCTCACAACCCAATAGCTTGACTAGGTCAACGTGTTAAACCGAGTTAACAACATGGATTCTCGCTCTACCAAAATATGATGCTGCTTGATGAGATACTTTATAATAAAATAAAAAAATCATTACACCAAGATTCCTCCCACTTGGAGACACTACTCTACAAAATGTCAAAATCATATATATACACATTCCTCCCACTTGGAGACACTATAAATTCTTCTAGTAAAATCATATATAATTGTTGCTACCTAAAGTATAGAGTGGACGAGGATGCAAAGGTATTTAATTTTATTTTTTGAGTTTGCTATATACAAATCGTATTTTATTTTTACTTATATATACATTCCACTTGCATGTAAGTCCAATTGTCAATGGAGGTCGCAACTCGAAAGGCAGAAAACACTCTTGCGGGCCAAGGAGTTTGCACGCTCGTTATTGGCTGTTGGTACGGTAGAATTTCTATCAATAATTCGAATTATTGCGACTAATTGATAGTTGATATGATGTTAGAGTCTTCTGTAATTGATAGGCCTTTTATTCAAATTCTTATGCCCTTCATTGATAAGCACATGATATATTTTGATATAATCATTTTTCTTTACCATATTGGAGTATGGTTAAGACTACATGGAGAAGTACTATAAATACTTCTCATGCTCTTCTCTAATTTGTATCTTTTCGAAGTATAGTGAAACTATACATCTCCTGTCGGTTGACTAGCTAACAAACATGCATTGTGTTAGTATGCGTCGTGTTCTTTTTTATTTTCGTTATGTTTTGTTTTATCGAATCCTTCAATTTTTCGATCCGTAACGAACAGTTGTTCGTGACAGGATCTAATACGCTATCACATACCTCTCTTCCAATCTAGTGCAGCTATATATCATTATCATTCTCACACACAAATCAAGTCAATGACCGGCCCAACTAACCTTACGTACATACTAATTCTGACCGGCGTGTAATAAGGCAGAATGGAACTCTGGACCGTCCTCAAATTTACGGCACCCTGCAATATATTATTTGCAAACGGTACATGCAAATGGTTATGAATTATATGCTGGTGAAAGGTGGCTTTCCTTTCTAAATAGAGAACGATATGCATGCTAGAATATCATGTCACTTGTCTTATTAATAAGCACTAGAATGGAAGCCCGCGCTTCGCGGCAGGGTTTTGATTATTTGTAACAAAGTGTTTTTTAGTTTTAAGTACATGTTTCAGACTTGTAAACTATTTCAGTGATAAGAAATGCTATACGACCGATAGTGTATCATTGTGATACGATTAAATTGTAACATAAACAATTCATAGGTAATTAATAAGGCATATGAAACATAACTTTTCTATAAATAAGTTCATCCATACAACATATTTTGATCGACGTCGCAGTACACCTTCTTTATGTTAGTAATTCAAACTTATGTTCATTCTTACAGACCAAGGACGATCGATGATCATAGGTCAAACTATTTAGGAGATGACCAAAAATGAACCAAAACTTATTTTCACATCGATCCAACCCATCAATTAGAAAAGCGTACAAAACTGGTCGTAGACCCAAAATTTGCCAACACCGGATCAAATTAGATAAAATACCCATTGATTCGAGTCCAAATTGGCCAATTGGCACAAAAAGAATTAGTTAGAACGGTTGACCAAAAGACTTAGATTAGTCAGTAACAATTTTAAATAATTTTAAAATCATAGTTGACGGGACACTAAGAAACAGTGCCCCATCTTACCAGGTCGACAATAGGTCAAATACCCAATGATTTAAGTGTGCAAAACGCGTCGTTAACCAGTCAGAACAGTTGACCAAAAGACTTAGATTAATCAGTAACAAATTTAAATACTTTTAAAATCATAGTTGACGTGACACAAAAAATAGTGCCTCATCTTATCGGGTCGACATTAGGTCAAATACCCAATGATTTAAGTGCAAAACTCGTTATTGAGTCAAAATTCGCAAACAACGGGTTCAACTCACTTAAACCGAATCGAAGAAGGTCGATTACTTTTTGATTTGGGTTCAATTTGGATTCAATTGTCATAAGTTAACTAATTAGAATCTCTTTGGCAAAAAAACTCTTACAAGCTTCAATAATTTAATCGTGTAAAACTCGTAGTGGAGGCAAAATTTCTCAACACTGGGTTCAACTTGCTTAACTCGGGTCGAAGTAGGTCGAACACTCATTAATTTGGGTTCAATTTGGAATTAATTGTCATAAATTAATTGATTAAAATCTTAAAAGACATAAAAACTGCTCCAAGTTTCAATGATTCAACTGCAAAACTCTGTTGAGGCAAAATTCATCAACAACGGGTTCAACTCGATTTAATCGGGTCGAAGTAGGTTGAGTACCCATTGATTTGGGTTCAATTATCAAAATTTAATTAATTAGAACCTTGGCACAAAACTCCCCCAAGTTTCAATGATTTTGCTGCAAAACTCGTTGTCGAGCCAAAATTCGGCAACAACTGGTTCAACTTGCTTTAACCGGATCAAAGTAGGTCGAATACCCATTGATTCAATTATCATAAGTTAAGAACCTCTATGGTACAAAACTCCTCCAAGCTTCAATCATTTAAGCGTGCAAAACTCGTTGTTGAGCCAAAATTCGTCAACACCAGGTTCAACTGCTTCAACCGAGTCGAAGTAGGTCGAACACCCATTGATTTGGGTTCAATTTGGATTTAATTATCATAAGTTAATCAATTAGAACTTTATTGGCACAAAAACTCCTCCAAACTTCAATGATTAAAGCAAAAAACTCGTTGTTGAGGCAAAATTCGTAAGCACCGAGTTGAATTCGCTTAAACTAAGCGTACAAAACTCGTTGTTGAGCCAAAATTCGCCAACAACGGGTTCAACTTGCTTTAACCGGATCGAAGTAGGTCAAATACCCATCGAGTCAATTGTTATAAGTTAACTAATTAGAATCTCCTTCAAGCTTCAATGAATTAAGCGTGCAAATTTGTATGAGTTAATCAATAATTAAAGCACAAATTTGTAAACACTGGGTCGAAGTTGGTCAAACACCCATTGATAAACAATTGTCATAAGTTAACTAATTAGAACCTCCTTTAAACCGAGTCGAAGTTGGTCAAACACCCATTGATTTGGGTTAAATTTAGAATTAATTATCATAAGTTAATCAATGATTAAAGCACCATATTTGTAAACACCGGATTCAACTCGCTTAAAATGGATCAAAGTAGGTTGAACAGCCATTGATTTGGGTTCAACTGTAGTAAGTTAATTAATTAGTACCTTAATGACATAATACCTCTCCAAACTTTTGTCAATTACAAATGACCACCCCTTATGATGGAACACTATACAATAATAACTTGGTTATTTGTTCTTTTATCGAGATAACAACATGATGTCTGATACCTATACAAGTGGTTTTCGTTTCTAATGACATTCTAACAGCTATGACAGAAGCCCATGACGGGCCCAACAAACCTTATTTGCACGCTAAATTCTGAATGACGTATATTATGGCCGAATGGAATCTGCAATATGTTATTTGCAAACTGTCTGTAATGGCTATCTTCTCATGAACGGCCGACTTTTGAACTTAGGTAGCTCTCTATAAATAGAGGCATAATGTGCAACAATATCGTATCGCTCATCTCATTTCAAATAACACAAAGTGTGGGAAGAGAGTTAAGGAAAGATGTGGGCAAGTACTGAAGTAGTAGTGTCGATGGTGCTAGGGCTGGTGGTCGTAGCTGTAGGGCAGTGGGTGTACAGATGGAGGAACCCGAAATGCGATAAGGGCACTCTGCCTCCTGGTTCCATGGGGCTGCCCTTCGTCGGGGAGACGTTTCAGTTCTTCAGCCGCAACAAATCGTTCGACGTCCCACTTTTCCTCAGCTCTAGAATCCAAAAGTGAGCAACTCGTCGAGTCTCTGTTAAGTACATTAATGCATGGTTTTGGGTTTTCTTAGTGAATGATATGATATGATGTAAAATTAAACCTACTGCAACAAAGTTTAGGTGGACACCTCTAAAATTTGGAGAAAAAATATTGACTCTCGGTAGTAGTATTAGGGTTGTAAGCATGACCCTAGATACTCCCCCGTCCTGTCCCGATCTTCAGGGTCGGGGCGGGTCAGTTTATCTACAGGGTCAGATTAGGGTCGGGATTGGTCGGACAGGGTCAGGGTCAGTTTAGTGTCGGGTCACTTTTGATCCTATGACCCATAAGGGGTTGCATTTCCTCATACCAGCATATTGGACTTGTTTGTAAGTTTCTAAAGGTTTAGGTACTATAATGTAAGAGAAAAAATTTAAAGGTACGAAAATGTAATTTTTCGTCAAAATTTTTGGACCTATTTGTACCAAAAAAAATTAGGTACTAAATTATAAGAAAATATAATTTTGGGTACCAAAATGTAATTTCCAAAAATAGTTGTGAGTGCACAGGGTCGACTCTCTGACACGTCCCTACTCGGCCCGACCCGACCCTAACGGGTCAGACAGGGTCAAAAAGTAATGAAGGGCGGGGCGGGTCAGGTAGGGTTAGAGGCAAGTGCAAGTGTTGAAAGAACTTTGTGAACTTTGAGCTATATCAAGAAGAAGTTTCGGCTATTGTTGACCACTGTAGACCGTGAATGTGTTTTAACAATATTATAACAAATAAAAACACGTCATCATCGTGGTATTTTGTTATAACTTGTAATCACATATTGTCACTAAACCTAATCTATTGACTTATGTTTTGGGGCAATGGTGGGGGAAGATACGGAAAGATATTCAAGACGAGCGTGGCGGGGAGGGCGGTGGTGATGTCGGTGGATCCGGATTTCAACCACTTCATACTCCAGCAGGAAGGCAAGCTGGTGGAGCTGTGGTACATGGATTCCTTCGCCGAGCTCGTCGGCCAGCGCGGCCCGCTGAAGGAAGCAGCCGTAGCCGGGAACCTGCACAAGAACCTGAAGAAGCTGATTCAGGAGCACATTGGCATCGAGAGCTTGAAGGGAGAGTTGTTTGGTCTCGTGGATCAAGTCGTGAATCGGACTCTGGAATCGTGGACGTCGACGGGACGTGTGGAAGTCAAATCTGCCATCTCCAAGGTAACTACTAACTATATAACTATGTAAATTATCCTACCTGACTTGCACTAGGGCGGGTATTACCCGATCGCAGTAGCATGTGGCGGGCGATTGGTTACTACTTCCGACCTGTCTTATCCTGCTCCATTCTTGACAGTCTTATCTCAATTTTCTTCAATTATCTTTTTGTATTTTCTCCTATATTTTTGACTAACTATTTTAATCATAGTTTTCATCAACGGAAACTTTAAATAGGTGAAATTCATGAAGTATTTTCATTTGTTTTGTCATAAAAAAATATATTTTTTGTATTATATTATTCAAATAATGTATTAGAATGGGTCGACCGCCCCAATCTCTACCCGCACTAGTAATATTACCCGACCTCACCTGTGCTTGCTGCAGGACGAGTATGGGTATTGAGATATCTACCCCACATGTTTGCCTATCCCCACTCTCCATCATTAAACATGAAAATAGAATTACCTGAATTTCATTTTTTGCACAAGTACTTGATATATTGTAAGTTTCCTTATATCTTATTCTGGATAAGCAACTTTTTTTCTCCCATTTATTATCTAACATACCACTTAAAAGAACCTAACAACAATAAAAAAACACAAATTTCACATAGTAGCTCCCTAAAACCTAATCAACGAGCGTGCAAAACCAAACACTAAAACGAGCAAACTCAGATAGGCACAACAAAGCGCGCGACAGATCATCTAGCTATTAATATAAAAAGAAACAAAATTAGTCTGATATAAATGTACATTGATTAAATATGCAGATGACGATGGATTTGAGCTTCGGTATAATGCTAGGTTACGACCCTCTAAACACCGACCCAAATCTGAGCAAGATGTTCACCGAATTCCGACGAGGCATGCTCTCCTTCCCTCTCAAGTTACCCGGCACCGTTCTTCACTCCTGCTTGCAAGTACGACGCCGTCAACACTACTACTCTAATTAACATACATTGTTCAGACTTAAATACTTAAGTATGTTGATTGATCTCCAGAATCAGAAGAAAATTATTACGATGATTATGAATACAATGAAGTCGAAACGAGATCAACAATGCGATTCATCGTCATCAAGTTCTGCTGCCGAAACAGGAACTAATTACGACATGTTGGATCGTCTCATCGACGACAAGAAAATACAGACGTCCATGAACGATAGAGCCATCGGTTACGTGATATTTGCTCTTCTATTCGCCAACGGCGAGGCGCTTCCCAGCGTTTTGATGTTGGTGATGAAGCTGTTGCTCGCGAATCCGCTTGCTATGGAAGAACTTGTGGTATGTATATATGTATATATATACCAACTGGGTTTAGTTAATTATGTGCAACCTAAACACGTTTACTAATGTTGGTTGTGCAGAAAGAGAATGAAGAGATTCTTTGTACAAGGGAAAACAAAGAGGGCGAGTTGACATGGAAGGAATATAAATCCATGAATTTCACCATGAATGTGAGCGAGCTAGCCCATCGATAATTCAAGTTATTTGAGTTAATTAAAGTCGTAAAATTTTTTCTTAATTATGTTTTGGAATTTTGTTTTTCAGGTTATCAATGAAATACTTCGAATAAATGGTTCGATAGGGCTCATAAGAAGGGCAATTGATGATATTTACGTAAACGGTTGGTCCTTTATTAATCAACCCTAATTGAATTATTATCATATTATTAGATAGGGATTTGATCATTATCAATTTCATGGAGGTTAATTAATTTGGTTTTGTGAATTTGGACTAGGGTATGTGATTCCGAAAGGATGGACGATTGCCGTCATGTCAACGGCGGTTCAATTGAATCCAGATTTTTATGACGATCCTCTCTCTTTTAACCCATGGAGATGGAAGGTAAACTACGACGTTCATCTTGACTAATATCATTCTCGCGTTATTATTAGGCCGATTCGTAAGATTTTTTACGCGCGTTTTCTTTTTTCCTCGCAACTGATCGATGATCATCTTAAGTTTATGCTATAATTAATGAGTTAAATTTTGGGGGAAAAAATTAATCTCTAGGGGGCCAATGCAAGCTCAAAAACCTTCATACCATTTGGAGGAGGAATGAGGACATGTGTTGGAGCTGATTACAGTAAAGTGCTCATGGCCATCTTTGTGCATAACCTTGTCACCAAATACAGGTGTGCTTCCTGCTGTGTAAATATATATGAAATATTATTACAGCTCCATAATTTTTAATTTAATTTGTAAATTTCCCCTTTTGGCCATTAATTCATGTTCTTCTGTTATTTCATATTACGAGTAAGTTAGTGGTTTTTGTAAATTTAAAGTGATATTTTTTGTTGACGTGAAACTTGTTAGGTGGAAGACCATTAAAGGAGGAGAAGTTTATAGAGCTCCATCGATGCAATTTGAAGATGGCTACTACGTTGAGTTCTCAAGGAAATAAGCCAGAGTCATGCAGTGGATCTCTTCTCAACTTGTTTTTGTTGTTGACTTGTTGTTATTATTATTGTTGGTGTTAGTAACTAATATAAATATAATGTCTTATGTTATGTCGATGTGATGTAATGAGCTTATGATCCACTTGATAATTTCATAATATATGTCAAGCTTCAATAAGGTGTTGGGCGCTAGGCAGGCGTTGGAGTTCCGCCTAGAGCCCTGAACGCTTTATTGTCTCCTGAACAATTGGTATTGTATCTTCATTTTAGTTTTTTTTTTCTCCATATGAAAAATCAGCTGCATTTTAAATATTTACTCCCAACTTTATACCAATTTACCCGCTCATTTATACGAGGCCGTCACAATAGAGTTTTATTGGTTCAATTAGGCTAATTTCGTCATTCTCTGTGTGTGCCCTAATACACCAAGACCAATATACACACCAGTGGCGGATTCAGGGGGTGGCGAGCCTGGACCATCGCTCAGCCCTCCTCTGGGTTCAAATTTAGTATAGCCCTTATGAATTTTTCGATTTTAGCAATTCGGCCCAATATTATTTTATAATAGGATCGTGTGTAACTAAAAAAATGGATAACATATTCAAATAACTACTCTAAATTTAGCCTAGAAATTCTAGCCCGAATGATTTTCGTCTAAAAAAATAAACAATGAAACCTAAATATATAAGACTAAAAGAAATATGAGGTTTGTCCCCTTGAGAAATTACTAGAGCAGCTGGTGGAAATATGGATGGACACATGCATAATACAAACTGATTATTCGATTCATTTCTCTAGTGTTGACGTCGCCCGTTTCAATGTACCAGCTAGAGTCACATCACATGCACTGTCATCTCAAATTCAGAAATCAAAGCAAGAACATAAATCTATACTTTGAAGTACAAATATTTGGCAAATGATTTCAATCTTCATGTCATTATTCCTTCTTCAATAACCATGACACAAGAAGAGTACTTGCTAGAGGCGCTTCAGCATCATCTCCAGAGGGTCAAACATGCCTGCGAAGAAGGTCAACCCCAACTTTCGTACATCTGGCTCTACAGAGGTAGCTCAAATGTTGGATGGTAGCTATGCTTTCTATCACTGTTTGGGTGGGTATTTTGGATACCTATCGATTCCCATTGGCTGAGAGATACACTTTGTCAAGCTCGGGGCATTAAACAAGCGCTTCTTGGGAGGCAACCCAGGGTTTGTTTTCTTTCTTTCTTTTTTATTTTATTTTCGTTGTTCGTGTGAGTCCATCCCGATGCATGTTTAGATTAGGAGTTGAACATTAGGGACAATGTTCCATCCTAAGTGTGTGGTGGTGAGTCAAGTGAGTCTCAGTGTTTGATGTGTATGTGTTGATGTGTGGTGATTAGTTTGTCGTCGTTATTTTGTAAAAAAAAAAACATTGACAATCCCTTAAAATTTCAAAAAAAAAAAAAAAAAAAAACTCTTGTGCTCTTATGGTAAAGTGATGTATATCGATGTGTTGCCTTTAAAAGAACCTTGACACTTAGTGATCGTTGAAGTTACCTCACCAATGTAATGACTTTGCAAAACAAACTCCCTACTTTGACTTGTTAAAATGCTTTGAATGACCAAACTTAGTTAGTAGCATTCAATTTTGGGAGGATAGTGTAATATAGGTGAACTTGTTAGATGGAGAGTATTAACCAATCAGTATGTCTGGATACAGTGCATACTTTCATCGTTTGTGAGCTTTTGACATTGTCAATGAGTCTCGGTTTTAAAGGTTTTATATGGGGTTAACTGTATCTTTAAAAATGAAAAGTCCTACCTAACAATCAAGATATAAAAAGTTGACATAACAATAAGTGGCGGGGGTATAAATGCCAAAAAACGTGTGAGGCAATCACTCATTAATGAACAGGGGGAATAAAAAAGATTCAACTGAGCATCGGTTCGCGATCGTACGATCAAAGTGCTGTGTGTGCTTAGAGGGCACAGATAGAGCTTCTGACGCCACACTATAACATTGACCCTCCACACGGATCGAGGAAAAGGAGTTAAAAGAAGACCTTATGCTTAAGTGAGGATCACAAAAACTGCTCTTGCTCGATCACTATTAGTAAGAAACAAACCCACTTGTACTAAATATTAATACTCGACAAACAAAATCAGAAAGAGAGGAAGACTCTCATTGTAAAAAAGGTAGTGATGTGCTTAAAGTGAAAACAAAGTTTGCGAAAAGCTTCCCCCATAAGTTTTTTAGACTCTTGTGCTTGGAGCAGAGTTCTTAGGCGAGCACCAGTAGCGCGCGGAGCACGGGTGATAAAACCACTCGTTCGTCGAGCTGAGCTGGGGGATAATTGCAGGCGATCATCAGGAATCAGGGTTAGAGAAACTGGTTGCTTTATTCGTAATTCTTTTTCCTATTTCTTGAATTCTAAGATTTTGAATTATTTGTTAGTTTGTTCTCCATGATTATGAACTAAACCCTAATTTATGGGGGAAGACCGTAGGATGTAGCTATCAAATTTCTATGATTTAAATCGGATTATTTGTCTTTCTCATTCATATTGTGTGTGGATTCTTAATTCTTTGTGTAGACTGGTCACCTACGTATTGTTTTGTTGTTCTAGGTTGAGACCTAGAGGAGATATCTAGGATAGAACACTCTTACGTACTTCATAACACCCAATTGAGCATGAGAGTGGAAAGCGGGAGTTGTGTGATCATTAGAGGAGTTATCGACTTCATGCTAGGTAGTTAATTAATTGGTTGTACGAGAGTAAATGATTAATTGACTAGTTAGTACGTAGTGATTCTTCAGAGTGATAACTATCACCTTAGAGATAACTTCTGTCATTTGAATGAGGATTAAATTGATTAATAAACGAATTGAATCAGATAATTAGCTTTTCACGTAGTATTATATTAGGGAACCCAAGAGTAAACTGTGTGGGCTTGGCCCAAAGCATACAATATTGTACTAATTGAGCGACCCGGTTATGACAAGTGGTATCAGAGCCAGGTTTGGTTCGGGGCGGTGGACGTAAGTTTGGTGGACCCTCATTCGGTGGCCTCGAGATTTGCAATCTGCATCTGTTTGGTGGATCCAGGAGAGATCCACGTTTGGGCTACATCTGGTTTGGTGGATCAAGAGAGGTCTGCGTTTGTCTGGTGGAGAGATCCACGTCTGTTTGGCGAATCAAAGAGAGTTCCGCGTTTGGGAAAATCCTTGTACCGAGAAGTCCAACGCTACAAGGTGTCTGGCAGATCAAGATAATCACTGAGGTAAGGACAAGAAGTTCGTGGTCCTTGGCTTGAGGGGAAGATTGTTATGGTACAATCCAAGTACTACATCGGTAATACAACGGAAGCAACCCTTGTATATTAGTGTCCACTAAGCTCATTAGTACGAGACCTTTTGGGGAGGACGTACACCCAAGAGTAAAACCGTGTGGGCTTGGCCCAAAGCGGACAATATCGTACTAATTGGGCAAACCCGGTTATGACAGTAAATAAATATAATTAGTGTGCTTATTATGGATTTTGTGGATTATCCGCGGTGGATAGTGGGTAACTACTAATCACAAAAATCATTATTTTACTACCCATACTCAACTAGGGCTGGCTATTTGGTCCGGACTATTTGGTTTTACCCGGACTGGGACCGTATAACCCGGACTGGGACCAGATAGCAAACAATTCAATCTCATATTCGGGTTTAGATTTGAGGTAAAAAACCGTTTGGGACCGAATCAAAAACCGGATAAAGATCGGATAAGAGACCTCAACACCCAAAACTTAACCAACTCCTCACCCTTTGAGGCCTCAGGTCACTCAAATCCCCACAAGCTCAATCTAAAATCAAGACCAAATTAGGAGCGGACCGGGTCAAGACCAGACTGTCTCCAATCCAATCAACCCACTACCCACAACTCGTGGTTGTAGTTAACCACAATGGATGCGAATTGATGCATGCGGATTATCCACAACCCACAACCCAAACTTCCATCCCTAGCCGGCACACGGCCATTGACTGCGGATTGGCTGGCCATGTGCTAGCTGTCTACCAAAATCGGCTGCTGCTTGAAGAGAGACTTTATAATATAAAAATAAAAATTATTTTACTAACATTCCTCCCACTAAGAGACACTCTATAAATTCTTCTATCTAAAATCATATAAATATTTGTTGCTACCTGAAGTATAGCGTAGAAGATAGGGCTGGGCATGCGGGCGGATCATCCGCGGGTTTGGGCCGACCCACCCGTATTTGACCCGAATTTCGTTAAGTGGGTGGGTCTGTGGGTGGGTGACGGGTTGCGCTGGGAGCCATACGCCGGGTGGTGGGTGGGTTGTGGGTGAGTGTGCGGGTGACCCGCTCAACCCAACAGCAAAAAAATCAAAGTCGTTGGCGCTAGAGAGAGGAGAGTGGAGACGTTAGATATAAACTCGGACTGCTCCTGGAGTTTGAACCTCAAAGCCAACCTTCCAAATAGAGATCCCCTCTTCTTCCCTTTACTTTTTCCTCTAATTCTTGTGCCTAGATCAATGCTCTTTCCTTTGTGGAATTATTTTCCTTAGTTCCTTGCACCTAATAATCGTCTCAATCTGTAGAAAACTCTTTCATAATAGAATTTCTATCCAATTTAAGAACTAATTCGACATTTTTCGCCCTATTTCAACTTCTGGTTTCCCTCGATGATTCTCTTCACCTATTATCATGTCAAGTTGACTCCTTTATATTATATAAATTGTGATGTGGGTGAACCCACAAACCCACCCGCATCATCCACCATCCGCCCGACCCAACCCGAGACTAAATGTGGGTGGGTGGTGGGTTAAAAATTATCAATCCGTTTAAGCACAGATGGATGCATTTTATGGTCAAAATCCACCCGACCCACCCAATGCCCACCCCTAGTAGAAGAGGATGCAAAGGTGTTTGCTTTTATTTTTGCGTTTTCTATATACAAATGAGTTTTTTTTTTCCTTCCTCCTTATATATACATTCCACTTGCATGTCAGCGGAGCTATGAAGGCAGAACCCACTCTTGCGGGCGAAGAAGTTTGTAATTGAGAAATCTTCTATTCGAATTCTTATGGCGGCTTTCGAATCATTCCTGATGATGCCCTCACACACAAATCAAGTCAATGACCGACCCAACTAACCTCACGTACGTTACTAATTCTGACCGGCGTATATTATTTAAGGCCGAATGGAATCTGCAATACATATATATTATTTGCAAACTGGAATGGGTATCTGCTGATGAAAGGGCGACTTTTGAACTTAGAAGTATCCATTATAAATAGAGACATAATATGCAAGAATATCATCTCATCTCAAATAACACAAAGTGGGAAGAGAGTAAAAAGAAAGATGTGGGTAACTGAAGTAGTGTGTGTCGTGCTAGGGTGGGTGGTCGTAGCTTTAGGGCAGTGGGTGTACAGATGGAGGAACCCAAAATGCGATAAGGGCACTCTGCCTCCTGGTTCCATGGGCCTGCCCTTCATCGGCGAGACGTTTCAGCTCTTCAGCCGCAGCAAATCGTTCGACGTCCCACTTTTCCTCAGCTCCAGAATCCAAAAGTGAGCAACACCCAGAGAGTCTCTGTTTAAGTACATTAAATGCAATGGTTTTTGGTTTCTTTAGTGCAATGATATAATCAGGGGCCGCCAAAATTATGAGGGGCCTCAGGAGTTTCATCGTGACTAATTATCATTTCGGATTATTGAGTTTCGATTATGAATTTAAAATTATATAAAAAATTTATGAATCGGATTTTGATTGTGGGTCTAAAACAATAATATAAAAAAAAAATTAAGTTCGAAGGCTAGAAGAACGAACTGATCACATGAGAGGAATATACTTTCTTTCTTTGTCGTGTGTTTCCTAGATTGAGTAAAAGAGGTAAGATTTTCGATGCCTCATTATTAGTATTATCAAATTTGTCGCTTTGACTTTCTTTATTTTCAACTTTTTCCCGCGGGGGAGGGGGGGGGGTTGAATAATTAAATTTCGTTATTTAATCTGATTGTACTAGGAAGGTAGTCATGCTAAACTAATTAAATAATCAATACTCATTAACGAGAATAATTAGTTTCAAGGCACCAATAGTACGTAGAAGAGGAAAAAAATAACTAAACTAATTAGAAATAGTTTGTACAATACTTAACATTAGACTAAGAATATTATCAGTTTCTTCTATCCAGTTTAGTTTACTATATTACTTATTTATACTATTCGATTCTTCTAAAATTAGTTTCAAATCTTCTGCTCATCTAAGTTTTCGTTACCTATTCAGGCGAGCCTAGTTAATAAATTCATTGTCAAGTTAGTTACTATTTTGATTCTTTTTTATTTGGATTTTCTAATCAATCTCTCAAATAATATATTTCATAATTACACCTTACTATTTTAACAATGTCACTCTTCATTTCAAATCATATTAGACAGATATTATTTTATTAATGAAAACACGTCGTGATATTTTGTGATGATTTGTGAAGGTACGGGAAGATATTCAAGACGAGTGTGGCGGGGAGGGCGGTGGTGATGTCGGTGGACCCGGATTTCAACCACTACATACTCCAGCAAGAAGGCAAGCTGGTGGAGCTTTGGTACATGGATTCGTTGGCCGAGTTCATCGGCCAACAGGGCCCGCTGAAGGAAGTAGCCACCGCCGGCAATTTGCACAAGAACTTGAAGAAGCTGATTCACCAACACATTGGCATCGAGAGCTTGAAGGGAGACCTATTGGGCCTCATGGATCAAGTCGTGAATTGGACTCTGGAATCGTGGGCTACTTCGCCCACGGGAAGCGTGGAAGTCAAATCTGCCGTCTCCAAGGTAAACTATATATTTAATGCTATATAGGGCAATTCTTCTTTTCTTTTATTTTTATAAATGGTTGAGATTTAAATGGACAAAATATTTACGACATATTTTCATTTAGAAAGAAGAGAAATATTGATAAGAGTTTAATTAGCACTTATTTGTATAAAATTCTTAAATTGTTTAATTATCTATTAATATTGTATTTCTCCTAGGTTGACTTACTATTTTAATCTTTTTTTTTTTTAATGAAATATGCAGATGACGATGGATTTGAGCTTACTCATAATGTTAGGTTACGAACCTCTAAACACCGACCCAAAACTGAGCAAGATGTTCACCGAATTCCGACGTGGCCTACTCTCATTCCCTCTCAAGCTGCCCGGCACCGTTCTTCACTCCTGCTTGCAAGTACGACGTCGTCACACTACTATGTAACATAAATATATGGTGCACACTTAAATACTTTAATTATGTACTGTTGATTGATCTCCAGAATCGGAAGAAAATTATGACGATGATTATGAATACAATGAAGTCGAAACGAGATCAACGACACGATTCATCGTCGTCATCAAGTAGTACTGCAGAAACACCAACAACGGGAGCTAATTACGACATGATGGATCGTCTCCTCGATGACAAGAACGTACAGAACTCTGTGAACGACGGAGCCGTCGGCTACGTGATGTTCGCTCTTCTCTTCGCCTTCGCCGAGACGATTCCCAGCGTTTTGATGTTGGTGATGAAGCTGTTGCCTGAGAATCCGCTTGTTATGGAAGAACTTGTGGTATGTAATGTATTTTTTTTTTTTAACTTTACTGATATTATTATGCAAACCTAAAAAGGTTTAATAATGTTGGTGGTGCAGAAAGAGAATGAAGAGATTCTTCGTACAAGGGAAAGTAAAGAGGGCGAGCTGACGTGGAAGGAATATAAATCCATGAACTTCACCATGAATGTGAGCTGACGTGTAAAATTATATTGTACTTAATTATGTTTAACCAATCTAACTACAGTTTCTTGGGTTTGGACTTTTGTCTTTCAGGTTATTAATGAAATACTTCGATTAAGTGGTTCGATAGGGCTGATAAGAAGAGCAATTGATGACATTTACGTGAACGGTTGGTCATTTATTAGTCAACCCTAATATGAATTAGCGTCTTATAAGATAGCTAGAGATGTGATCATTATCACTTCATGGAGGTTAAATTAATTTAGTTTGTGAAATTGGGACCAGGGTATGTGATTCCGAAAGGTTGGACAATTGCCATCATGTCAACGGTCGTTCACCTTAATCCGGATACCTATAACGATCCTCTTACTTTTAATCCATGGAGATGGCAGGTAATAAACTCTCCATTAATCTTATAACTAATACCATTCTCACGTTATTATCAGGTCAATTTGTAAGATTTTTACGCGTTTTTCCTTTATCCTCACAATTGATGATCATCTTAAGTTTATGCTGCAATTAATTAGTTAAATTTTGGGGGGAAAACGCCATCTTTGTGCATAACCTTGTCACCAAATACAGGTTTGTTAATTTTTAATTTAATATGTAAAATTTTCCCTTTTGGCCTTTAATTGAGGTTCTTCTGTTATTTAATTTCATATTAAGTTACTGAGTTTTTGTAACTTGAAAGGGATATTTTTTTTATGATGTGAAACTTATTAGGTGGAAGACCATTAAAGGAGGAGAAGTTTATAGAGCTCCAGCAGTGCAATTTGGAGATGACTATTACGTTGAACTCTCCAACAAAGAAGTCAGCAGGCTCATCTTGTTCTTGTTGTTGTTATTATTATTATTATCTGTAACTAATATAAACACAATGGCTTATGTTTGACGATGTGATGTAATGAGCTTATGATCTGCTGGATAAGTGCATGATATACATACTTATAAGGCGATTTCCAAAATACACACCCAGTGAATTTAAATAGTACGGTATTTCTTTAGTTACTTGGGACTATTTGGATTGTAAATTTATCAAGATTTGTGATACTTGGTAATGTACTATGAACTCTAACGATTGAACACTAAGTTTCGAATTCGACAACGTAAATCTAACATACCAACTACGTAGACCAAACCACTTAGAATACACTAAAATAGATTCCCATAATTGCTCACCCCAACAACATCGTCATCAATCCCTCAAGAGCTCTTACTCTGCAGTGCCTGCCAAAAAAAAAAAAAAAGTTTGACGATGTGGTTTCAAATGTTTGGTTCTAGAACTCTTTTACAATTTTTGTTTCACCTATTTATAGCTACAGGGTGTAACCGTCTAGGTAACAGTTAGCTGGACGGTTGTTTCAACCATCTCGGCCACTCCTTATCCCATTTTGGTAACCGCAAACGAGTCATCTGCTCCAACTGCCTTAGGAGCCTTTTAAGAAGCAATGGTGACCAATGTAGTCAAAATCCCGATTTTAATCTTAAAAATCCCATAAAATTCCGATTTAAATTTGTAAATTTTTTAAAGTCTACGATGTTGTACGACTTTAAGGTTCATGTCAATTGGAGCAAAATTAGGCCGTTGGGTTTTACCCATGAACCAGGTCAAGTTTACTCCCCCGACCTAACATAATGAACAACATTATCCTAACCGGGTAGGCGACCCTCAATTTATCTTCGTTCTCTTCCTCATATCTTCCTCTTCTACAAGCCAGAGACCAATTCCTTTCATGAATGATTTCTTCCACCCTCCCAATTCGCTCGTAGTTTTTTCCCACCACCCTTACAATTATCCAATCTCCATTCCATTGGAAGCTTTTGTTTATCTCTCAATCCTTCAGCACCACTATCCTGGACCTTTTATTGATTGAGAAGGGAATGCATCAATCAATGAGTTACCTTTGAGAGATGATGGTGATCAATGATATATAGTTAATGGTGAAAGTACTTCAACTTTTCATGAGAATAATGATTTCATTCCTCAAGCAAGTAGACAAGGATTCTTCAAGGATGAGAGTGAAAGTGAGGGTGAGGATAATGATGTGTGAGGGATGGAAATGTTGATTCTAACGATTTTATGTGATTTTCTACTCTTAACAATTAACTAAATTAAGTAATTTCTATGAGGTTTGAGGTTCCTTATTTGTGTGTTTATGTTATGTACATAAATAAATCTATGGATTTATTTGTCTTTATTTAGCAGACAAACTTATCTTTGTAAGTAATTAGTTTATATGTGGTTGATTGTTATTCATTATATGCATTGTTATTACTATTTGGTGTTTTAAATGTTTGTTTTAATATGAACCTTAAAATCTTACAATTTTAATCTACGATTCCGATTTTACCTTAGTTTTCAATTTTACGTAAAATCATGATTTTGACTGCATTGGTGGTGACCAATGGGTAATCGTCGTCTTTGTGTTGACTCCCTCACCTTGGGGCCCCTTATCATGTCTTGTTGATTGGTTGGTACTTGATGGCCTCGATGTCGGGTCGTGTTGGTTTTGAGACTGACACAACCTTGATTACATAAGCCAAATCCCCCCTCCATGCCGACCTGGCACCATCATCATCTTTCCCGACCAAGTATCCACAACTTAGTCTTAGAGTGTTTTCATGGTCCCAACTGTCATCTTCGTATCAAGCCCGTCATATCAGCTTGATACTTTATTCCGTTGCCCTATTGGTAAGCCACTTTCACCAGTTTGCTAACAAGTCCATCCCAACTTGGTATCTTGTTATCTCTCTGGCTTGATACCCCCTGCTACCAAGCTAGCCATGTAGGCCCTTGCCACCAAGCCAGTCTTGCCGGCCTAGTCTACATACTTAGTTAGTAGAATCTCATCAAGTTGGTAACTTGCCACCATGCCGACTTGCTACCCCATTAGGGGGCCACCAAGCGCGTCTTGGCGACTTAGTCTCTCCATATGGACCCCCTAATGGGCTCTACACCAAGTCCTTAACAAATTGATACCCTCTCAGCTCGACATCCTGGCCAACCAGTCCCCACCCCCAAGCTTTCGTAATTAGTCTTGATAATATAGGATTGTTCATGAGGGCTTGATACCCAGTCATGTTTTGCCAACTTGGTATCTAGACTTAGTTTCTGTACGGGTCTCTAGTTGGTACCCTACCAAGCCTATTTTGTCGCCATGGTGTTCATACTTAGTCATATTTCATACCTAGCTATCAAGCATGTCTTGGCTTGATATCATGTCTCCTACTTAGCCAAATTTCACATCTTGGTACCAAACCTTTCTTGTCAACTTGGTACCCTCTTGATTTCATACTTAGCCAATTTTCATGTCTTGATACCAAGAGTACCTTGCCAGCTTGGTACCTTCTTGGTTACACTTTCATATTTTGATTAGCCAATTTTCATGTCTTGATACCAAGAGTACCTTGCCAGCTTGGTACCTTCTTGACTACACTTTCATATTTTGATACCAAGTCTGTCACAATGGGGAGGAGGCTACTCGCCATGGAGCCCAGAGAGAATGGTGGGCCACTTGTGTCTGGAAGAGGAAGTTTGGCCACTTAGGTTCAAAAATCCATTTAATCGATGGTGTAAGAACAAGGTAATATGCATTGCAGAAGAGGAGAAATCAAGTTTGAAACCCGCACCTGAAGAACTAATCATTAATATTGTGACGACTGAGAGAAAGCCACAGTAAATGGATTTTCAATTCACCAACTTCAACTTTTTACTAGAGACAAACTTTAGCAGTTTTACATGTTTAAAACAGTAGAGCATTAACTTCTCTACTCTGCGAATCAATCCTCTAATTGTCACCTTCTGCAAGCTGCTAATCGCAGAATTATCCAATCTCCATTCCATTGGAAGTTTTTGTTTATCTCTCAATCCTTCAACACCACTATCCTGGACCTTTTATTGATTGAGAAGGGAATGCATCAATCAATGAGTTACCTTTGAGACATGATGGTGATCAATGATATATAGTTAATGGTTAAAGTACTTCAACTTTTCCTGAGAATAATGATATCATTCCTCAAGCAAGTAGACAAGGATTCTTCGAGGATGAGAGTGAAAGTGAGGGTGAGGATAATGATGTTTGAGGGATGGCAATGTTGATTCTAACGATTTTATGTGATTTTCTACTCTTAACTATTAACCAAATTAAGTAATTTCTATGAGGTTTGAGGTTGCTTATTTGTGTGTTTATGTTATGTACATAAATAAATCTATGGATTTATTTGTCTTTATTTAGCAAACTTACTTATCTTTGTAAGCAATTAGTTTATATGTGGTTGATTGTTATTCATTATATGCATTATTATTACTATTTGGTGTTTTAAATGTTTGTTTTAATATGAACCTTAAAATCTTACGATTTTAATCTACGATTCCGATTTTACCTTAGTTTTCAATTTTACGCAACATCATGATTTTGAGTGCATTGGTGGTGACCAATGGGGAACCGTCATCATTGCGTTGACTCCCTCACCTTGGGACCCCTTGTCCTGCGGTCTTGCTGACTGGTTGGTACTTGATGGCCTCGACCTCGGGTCGGGTTGGTATTGAGACTGACACCACCTTGATTACATAAGTCAAATGCCCCCTCCATGGCGACTTGGCACTATCCTCATCTTTCCCGACCAAGTATCCACAACTTAGTCTTAGAGAGTTTTCATGACCCCAACTTGTCATCTTGGTATCAAGTCCGTCATGCCGGCTTGATACTTTTTTGCCTTGCCCTATTGGTAAGCCACTCTCACCAGGTTGCTAACAAGTCCATCCCAACTTGGTATCTTGTTATCTCTCTGGCTTGATACCCCCTGCTACCAAGATAGTAGGGGTGGACAACGGGACGGGACGGGATCCCGTCCCGTTTTAAACGGGTACCCAGTCCCATTTGGAGACCAAAGTCCATCCCATATCCCAAACCCATATGGGAAACGGGTACCCATTACCCGTACGGGACGGATAACGGGTACCCATACTACCCATAAATACTCAAAGTTTAAATGACATCACATTACATATCTTTATAATAACATGCTCTTGCAGGAAATAATAAGAACACGATATGATCAAAAAACATAAATTCAATCTCTATATACACAAACATTCATTTCAAAACATGTCCCTAAAACCAGATGACGTTTTAGCTAAAGACAATTACATCCCAAATCCACTACATAAACATGTATTAGAAGTGAAATGACGGCGGGAGCAAAAGTTCGGAGTAGGCAGCTATTCTAATACATTCCACAAAGAAAACATGTATTAGCATAGCAAAAGTTTGGAATGTCTGCTGTCGCCATTCTCCCTTCTGCAGGTTGTTGTCCTTCACCTGCTGTTGTCCTAAAGAAGAATAATTACAATAAAAAGTTACTGCAACTAATCAATCACTATCCAGCCGTGTGCATGCATTATAGAAGATTAACTGTCACCTTGATTTGAGCTTTAGCAAGTTGGGGGTTTTGTGATTAGAGGCTTTGTAATTTAAATGGGTACAACGGGTACCCATATTAAACGGGTATTCGCGGGTAACCCGCGGGTACCCATATTAGGAATGTACAATCTCAAGTCACATCCGTTTATAATATTACGGGTAATATGGGTACCGTAACCCTTAAAAAACGGGACGGGTACGGGTATACCCAAATACCCGTTTCCCGTTGCCCACCCCTACAAGATAGTTATGTCGGCCCTTGACACCAAGCCAGTCTTGCGGCCTAGTCTAAATACTTAGTTAATAGAATCTCATCAAGTTGGTACCTTGCCACCATGCCGATTTGCTACCCCATTACGGGGCCACCAAGCGCGTCTTGGCGACTTAGTCTCTCCATATGCCCTAATGGGCTCTACACCAAGTCCTCAACAAATTGACACCCTCTCAGCTCAACATCCTGGCCAACCAGTCCCCACCCCCAAGCTTTCGTAATTAGTCTTGAGAATATAGGGATTGTTAATGAGGGCTTGATACTAGTCGGGTGGCCACTTCAACTGGTCATCTTGTCACCTCCTTATCATGTTGTTACTATGTCAGTCTGATCTCTATACTTAGTTTTTGGGAGATTTGGAACTTGATACAAAGCCTATCTCACCGACTTGGTACCCTCTTGCTTGAATACCAAACATGTTTTGCCAACTTGGTATCTAGACTTAGTTTCTATACGGGTCTCTAGTTGGTACCCTACCAAGCCTATTTTGTCGTCGTGGTGTTCATACTTTAGCCATATTTCATACCTATCTATCAAGCATGTCTTGGCTTGATATCATGTCGCCTACTTAGCCAAATTTCACATGTTGGTACCAAACCTGCTTTGTCAACTTATCATGTGATTGGTACCAAACCTGCCTTGTCAACTTGATACCCTCTTAATTTCATACTTAGCTAATTTTCATGTCTTGCTTGTCAACTTGATACCCTCTTAATTTCATAATTAGCTAATTTTCATGTCTTGATACCAAGAGTACCTTACCAGCTTGGTACCTTCTTGGCTACACTTTCATATTTTGATACCAAGTCTGTCACAATGGGGAGGAGGCTACTCGCCATGGAGCCCAGAGAGAATGCTGGGCCACTTGTATCTGAAAGAGGAAGTTTGACCACTTAGGTTCAAAAATCCAACCGAACAAGGCTCAAACAAAAGAGGAGAAATCACGTTTGAAACCCGCATCTGAAGAACTAATCATTAATATTGTGACGGCTGAGTGAAAGCCACATGTTAGCCAAGATTATGTCTCAGAATGGAGATGTTTATTAGTATTGATTGGTGTACTTACTCCTGACAAGCAGTTTATAGCAAATAACAGTAGAGATGACTATGGGGGAAAACAGAGGAGCCAAACTTGCATACAAGTAACAGAAAGACATAGTTGCTCTTTTCATACACGAGATCCCCAAGGCCAAGTGCACAATATTAATATTACAAAGATTAGACTCGATACAGTTCTACTAAACAGGATCATATATACTGAAGCCGATCACCATCTCTTGCGCATTCGCTCTGGTTTTTCAGTTTTCATCCCTCCATCTTAGTGCTCCATGCGAATGATGCACCTCAGCCCTTCTCCTTTCAGCATTATGTCGAACGCCTTGTTGATCTCCGAGAAGGGCACGGAGTGAGTAATGAACTTCTCCACTTCAAGCTCCTAGCATCAACACAACAGAACAGGACCATCTAGTTTACACATAGTTTTTTTTGTTAATTTACCCCTCGGGATTATTGGGACGAATTGGTTACGCACCTTGTTCATGTACTTCTCAACAACGGAAGGAAGGTCGGTCCGAGGCTTGTAGTTGCCGAAGAAGGTTCCCTTCAACGTCCTCTCGTTCAGGAAGTTCACCGGGTGGGTCTTGAACGCGTCGTCCTTGTTCGGAACACCGACTAGCACTGCAACACCCCAGCCCTGTCAAAAAAAATGTGGCACCACCAGGCATGTTGAGAATTGACATTGCTTATCTTACAAGCAAAGAAAGGAAGTTAATCTGGTTAATGAACGAACGAACGGGGGGTTCGTACATCGTGAACACATTCGAATGCCGAGATCATGGCCTGGACGTTTCCGGTACACTCCACACTACGATCTACTCCTCCGTTGGTCATGTCAGCGATCACCTGCTGGACAGGCTTGTCGTGGTCTTTCGGGTTCACGAAATCCGTGCATCCGAAGTTCTTGGCTGCTCAAGATACAAGGGCAATGATTCAATCAAACCATGTGGTCAGGAGTACAAAAGACCATGTAACATAGTATTAGTCCATCAGGTGTTACCTTGCTCGAATCGGCTCGCGTTCAAATCAACCCCAATGATCTTTGATGCTCCACAAAGCCTTGCACCTTCAGCAGCCTACAAATGCAATGAACATGGATTCCAAATGCAATGAATTTCACAGCTAAAAACAGACAAAGAAAGCAAAACCAACCCTAAATCGTAACTAAAAATGTAGTGATGGGCAGAGGAAGGAAAGGCAGGGGAACTCACAGCAAGGCCAACTGCTCCGAGCCCAAAGATGGCAACTGACTGACCCTTCTTCGGCTTTGCAACATTCAGAGTGGCTCCAAGACCTTCAATTCAATTTCCAATCGATCAATTTCCTAAACCTAAATCTTTACATATAACTCTGTCACAATTCGGGGGGAAAAAGGGAAAAGAAATTGTACCTGTGGAGATGCCGCAGCTGAGGACGCAGACTTTGTCGAGAGGGGCGTCGGGGTTGATCTTCGCGACGCTGCCGACGTGGCAGACGGTGTACTCGCTGAAGGTGGATGTCCCCAAGAAATGGTAAATTGGTTTGCCCTTGACGGTGAACCTGGACTTGCCATCGGCGAGCATGACTCCACGGTCGGTGTTGATCCTGAGGAGATCACACATGTTGCTCTCTTCCGACTTGCAGTGGCGGCACTCTTTGCATTCCCCGGTGAACACCGGCAGAACTTTGTCACCCGGCGCCAGATCCGTCACTCCCGGGCCGACGCTCTCCACGATCCTGGGTTGGGGGAAAAACAGAGCATGGTTAAAAAACAGAGCATGGTAAAAAAAAAAACAGAGATTTGATCATCAGTATGAAAATCTGGTTGTTAATTCTTGTGGGTAAAAAAAATTACCCTCCAGCTTCGTGGCCGTAGATGCGAGGGAACATTGGGGTTTGGCCTTTGGCTTCCCAGAAGTAGACATCGGTGTGGCAGAGAGAGGTGAAGAGGATCTTGAGACGGACTTCGTTTTCCTGTGGAGGCGCAACTTCCACTTCTTCGATCACCAATGGCTTCCCTGCCTCCCATGCAACCGCAGCTGTTTCCCAATTTCACCCAAAAAAAACTCTTTCAATTGGATCGATTGGGTAGAAGAAGGGGGGAAAAAAAACAGAGGAACTAGACCACTTGTCCCGGATGAAATGGAAAGTGGGAAGAAAAGGAATCAGAGAAACCGAAAGTTATGAGCTTTTTCATTGAATGATCTGGTTTCCAAAAGAATTGAGTTATAAGGATTGGTGATTTACCTTTGCAGCGAATGACCTGGCCCTTAGTGCTCGACATGGCTCTGTTTTTTTTTTCCCTGCAACCTCTTAGTTTTGATCTGGAAACAGTTTAATGGATTGGAAAGTGCTTTTGGGTTTTGCTTTCTATATGTGGAGAGATGAAGAGAAGGGAGGGATTGTATTTATACGGTGGAAGAAAGGGGATGGAACCATTTGTCAGCCACGTAGTGAGAGAAGAAGAAGAAGAAGAATCGGGAAAACCATTTAAGGGAAAACATAAGGCGGTTTCTGCCATATCCGTCCCCTGTAATTGGATAGAGAGAGAGAAAGAGAGAGGTGAATTTCGGTGCTTTTCGCGGAAATTCCAGGACCCATGCAAGCGGCGATATTCGGTGCTCTGTTTTGGCTTCAAGAAATTACCGGTAGGCGCCTCAGGTTTTCCGCCAGGAAGGAAGGCCGAAAACTAAACCAGCCTCTGTTTGCTTTGCCCTGTTTTGTAGCTAATTTTTGGGTTTTAAATCAATCAAATCACACTTGTTAAAGCTAATTTTTGGGTTTTGAATTCTTGGGCCGAGAAAATAAGAATGGAGAAGAGACCTAAAAGCCCATAGGTCATAGCTAATTTCCTTAGCATCCCTTCTGGATCTGGGCCAGCAACAACCTCAATCCTTATCCCTCTCTCGAGTCTCGACTATAAACAAAAAACCACCACCACCGCCATTCAAAATGATTATCCCAATTCCCACCCACTTTCAATCAATAAGTGGTCCTTCCTTTTCAAATCTACCTTCTTCTACCCAACGGAAAATAATAACCATGCAAACAACCACTTGTTGCACTCTTTGTCTTTACCAAATCCTCAAGTGCAGTTTATGTGTTTATTGCTTTACGGGACAGCGTTGAGAATCTAGACCAAATCGTGTGGAAAAACGTGGTATAAATCGTATTGTATGGGTTGGTTTGGATCGTGAGACCAGAATTATGGTTTGCTCTAGTTTGTGTTCTCCTTCTTTAGTGTATGGTCTGAAGTGGTCTGGACCGCGGTCTATCGCATTCGAAGTAAATCGTAACAGACCGTGACACACTTTCTACTAACCCATGCCAAAATAACACTAAATTAAACTTCCATTTATGTATTTGAAGGACAAAGTTGATCCTTCATCCCGTTGAGAGCCAATAGATTGTCCACTTATCAAAGAACCACACAAAAATCAGAAAGATTCATAAATAATATTCACCTACAATGTCTAAACTATGGAGTCGATAAAACATAAACACTAGAAAAATTCATTCACCTTCATGGTTAAGGAAAATTATTGAGAGATAAGCAATCATCTTAGTAATTCAAAATGGCATCGGAGTCATCAAGTCAAATAGGTGATCGACGCGAGAACCTTTGGATCAACAGAGTAAGGGAGAGAAGCGGTAGCACAAATAGGAAGAGGGAAACAAGGCTATGTGATGTGTATTTTTTTTAATGGATACTGGATAGAGTCGTGGAGACTGAAGATAGAGTTTGAAAATTGAAAAAGCACACTTCTCTCCTCATATATTTCTTCTCACTTTAAATAGGATCATTAAATTTTCATTTCACTAGCATATTGGTCACTAAAATTCTTATTTTTATAGATACCGAAAAAGGGGTGGAGGGCGGAATAAGAGTGATTTTTTTAAAAAAATGGTATGCCTGGTCCAGACCGTACCGGACCGCACCGCACATGCGTGGTCTGGTCTAGACCGTATAGTATATAGTCTGGTCTATGGTCTGTGTTCGACCCTCTCGGTCGGGACCACAAACTGTGTCTATGGTTTGGTCTGGTCCGGACCGCACCGTTTTCCACCCCAACTTCACGATGATTTCTCTTACTGGGAATCAATTTGACGTTGATTTTGAATTTTCTCGTGGGATTGGATTGGGTTTTTCCTTTCCAGTCATGCAACGATTGGTTGTTTGGGTATTCTTTCTTTGATGGTTTGGATTTACAACTCTAGGGGCGAAGGGAGAATGTAAGAGGGTGTGTCCTTGGTTCGATGATAAAAATTGTAAATTAGGTATAATAGTTAATTCAGTATGAAAAATAACACGTATTTAATTAAAAATGGTAGACTTTTCAAATATTTTATATATGATTTATTAATTGTGTTTTGATATATTCAATATATTTATAACGAGTTATGTACAAATGACAATGGTGCATATGATCCACCCAAAATTAAAGTGTATTTGTCAAATATCTTGAACAAATTTCCATCAAATTATAGCTAATTTATAAGAATAAGTTTATTTCAATCAAGGGTAGGGAGAGTGCAACGGGCGACTCCTAAGGACATAAAGCGAGTAAAATAGTATAATAGTTAATTAAGAATGAAATTTAAGGCACTTCTAATTGAGGATATGGTTGACCGAAAGATCATGTATTCGAGTACTAACCAGAGCATAAATGAAAGTTATAAAGAAAGGAGTTTCAGTACTAACCAGAGCATGAATGAACTGGTCAATTTCGTGAAGAACACACAATTGAATATCTTGCCTCCATAACAACCACAATTTACCAAGACCATTACCATTGTTTGCCACTTTCTCCTCCCATCCCGAGAACCGCTTATCAATTAGCTTTTCGGAATCCCTTGCCCCTCCGCCCCTTTAATTCTTTAATTGTGCTCATTTAAATGAAAAATTCATCCAAACAAAATGTTACTATTGGTTGGAGCTAGTGTTAGCACCATCCTAACAAAAAAATGTGTTAGCATACTAGCCCCCTCCCCTTCTTCATCATCAGCTTCTCTTCAATCACAAACGATGAGTAGATGGCACCAGTTTTCACCTCCTTGAAATCGCTGTTGATTTCTTCTTGGTTGATTTTCGAAAGTTGATGATAAAACACATGGACGTTCCAGCGGGCATTGTGTACTTGTTACACAACAACCCCTTAGAGGAAGGGCCAAACAAGGGGGTCAACAAACCGGTGATGCTCTAAATAAGAGTATAATCAAACAGACGCTTCAATGGTGTTCCATGAGATGATGACGCCTTTTCGGGAAATGATCTAATGATGGTGATCGATCTGGTGCAATGGAGGGTCGGGTGTTCTCACTGCCTTTCCTGCTTGTTTTCTCAATGGAAATTGCATCGGTGGATCATCGGTGCAACAAGTCACCAGTCTCAATATGAAGCCGTTTTACCCATTGTTGCTTTTCTATTCTGCCAAGTATCGTACTTGTTTCTACTTCAAGCTAAAGAACAGAACTCAGACTCAATGAACCACTGTTGTCTCGTAGTGGTCATTGTTATGTATTTAAGCTAAGAGATGCAATGAGAAACTCAAGCCTCTAGGGTTTCACTTCATTCCAATCAAATTGTTATTGATGGCGGCAGAAAGGACACGGATTGGGGGATGGATAGACGAGAATCAATTGCAAAAACACGAATTGGGTAAAGAATATCAACCAACCCGACCTGTTCAATTGACATAGATGTGTAATTTAACTCGGAACATAAAATCGGTAAAATCCCATCAAAATCTCGATTTTAACAATTTTAATCTCGATTTCAAACGATTTTACGGTCCGCCAATTTCAAATAAAGATATAAAAACATTCAATCGAAATCCCAATACAAATTAAACTCGAACCGCACCAAATTCAATCCATAAATTAATACAAGAAATTTGATACCATGGGTTACATAAAATATATAGTTGGGTTACATATATACTACATAATAATAACATATGCTTTGGGTTACAACTAACTCACGTAACACAAGTATATAGTTCATCATAATTCCAAAATTGAAAATGGAAAATCACAAAAAAGAATAAGAATTAGACAAAAACTTATTACAATTAGCATCCTGGTGGGATGGATCCTGAAATGGTCGGCTTCACGTTGCAGCACACAGATGTTGCCGGTCCGGAGGTTGACTTGACGTCGATGTTAGATAGCTGCACATTCTGGCATGGATGGAGGCTGCTGCAGTTCAAGTGAACAATCTCTGGAGTTCCCGAAGTCCCCACAATGTTGGTAAAACTGATATCCGAAAGCGAAACTTTCGATGGCCCCTAGAAACGTTTCGAAAGGAAAAGGTTAGTGCACGTGCTCAAGTAACATCAAGAATCAGTCGATTCCAATAACTCAAGTTGTTGGGAGACATTCAATCCTGAATCATATAATACGCAATATAACCGGTTCACGATACGTACCGTGTTCTTGCACGTATTCCAAGGGCAATAATCTTGATCCACGATGATAGGGAAAGAGACGTTGTTCATGATGATGTCATCGAAATGGATGTCGGAGGCATCACAAACCTCCCTATCGGGCCAAGACTTGATCCTCAAGCCATTCAACGTGTTGGTCAACGTGCAGTTCTTGACGTGGATTCCTTTGACCGGCGACTCATTCGGGTACATCCCAAGGCTGCCGATGGCGATACCATGGCCGGGCCCGCACGTCACGTTCGTCACCGTCAGGTCCGAGATTCCGTCGCCGACGGAGATGCAGTCGTCGCCCGTCCCGATGTTGGAGTCGAGGATCGAGATCTGAGCTGCTCTCCCCATGTGGATTCCGTCGGTGTTGGGGCTGTCTCCCGCCGCAGTGATCGTGATATGGCTGAACGTCAAGTTCTTGCCTCCGATCACGATGAAGTGGAAGTTCTTGCTGTCCTTGCTCGTGATTCCTTCGATTAGGGCGTTGGTCACGTAGTTGAACCGCAACGTCTGCATGCATGCATGCATGGCATCCAGATAACCACGTCACCATATTGCATGCATGCATTCATAATAGTATATATAGTTTTTACTTGGATTTTCATACGTACCACGGCAACGGACTTGACAGTCTTCCAAATGGCGGGGCCTTGGCCGTCGAATACACCATTGCCGTTGATGTTCAGGTTATTGACGTTGTCGAAAAGGAACCACGACTCGCCGGCGACATCGTTAGGGGCCGTAACGGTTCCCAATACTTGGATTTGTATCTGCGGAGACTTGCATGGGCCTTTCAAGTCGGTTTTCCCGCAGAGAAATTTCCCCGCCGGGATTAAAATGGTGGATGGCTCAGCTGATCCGCAAGCGTCAGCCCATGCTTTACATAAAACCTACGATAAATGAATTAATCGATTTATTTAAAAAAAAATATTAATACTTTAAGAAATGGGATGTTATTAAAAAATTAGTAGTTGTCATGACCAGTTGATCCCAATAACTCGAGTTGTTGGGAGAAGGTTATGCGGGATCTTATACCACTCTCTAACACGCCCCTCAAACGAAAGCCAATCCACGGGCTTGAAGTTTGCACAGGCCCACCATACCATATGCTTGAAAGACAAGCAGTTAATATTGGAGGTCGTGGAGATTCGAACACATGACCTTTCGGTTCTAGGCTCTGATATCATGTCATGAACCAGTTGCTCCCAATAACTCGAGTTGTTGGGAGAAGGTTATGCTGGATCTTATACCACTCTCTAACAGTAGTTTTTAAAAAAAATTAATACGTAAGAGAGATCAGAAGTAATTGGTACTTAGCCAAGGAAAATAATTTGCTAATTACCGGAGACATATCCGTCTTCCCGTCAGCAACGGCACCGTATTTTGTAACGTCGAGCACTCCACCTGGCCCGCCACCTCCGGGTGCGGGCATACCGGGTTGACCCGCACCACGTTGGGCTGCAACCACGGTGGCGGATACAACTATCAGGAGAAATAACATCGCCGGAAATGTTCTCATCGGAGTAGTTGTAATACCGCAATGCTTCATCTTCTTTTATTTATTTTATTTTATTTTTATTGTTTATTTTTTTTTTATATTTGGTGTTTCACGCTTTATTGTGAATGTCCAAGATGATGGGTGAAAAAGAAATGAGCTTGTTCTATTTATATAGCAAGAGCTTGAAAAGAGCTCAACGGTTGGGGATTTATTTAATTTCTTCTGCAGGTTAGAATAATAGTGGAAAATTACTATCCACAAAAAAAGATTATGAAAATTACAATCCATAAGAAAATCAGAGAAGTCTGGTTTGGTTGCGTTTTAGTAGGTTGTAAATCCTGATTTCCCTAAGTTTAAACGAACCAGCTCATCCATTGATAGTTGAATAGGTCTCAGGCATGGAAGATTCTTCCACATGGCCAGCAGTGGGAAATAAAATAAAGCCCGAAAGGATGAACGAACCCACCGAGTTGAGAATCTGGCTCCTCACACGAGTATTGTTCGGAGGCCATTTTTGACATATCCTCCTCTGACAGTATTTAATGTACTTTTCAAATTTCATCAACAAACGATGTTGTATTCGTTTTATATTGGATTTTAAAAAAATTACATAGAAAGATCATATGATTTGTGCTCTATATTAGAGATAGGACCAGATTGATTAAAAGTAAAAATAATACAAGCACTATATTGTATTACATTATATAGGTACTAGATTGTAAATAGGTTAATTAGTCTGCAGTATCATTTATAGCTGAAACATAAAACTGCCACCCCCATTCAAAAATTCCTGCATCCAGAGGAGTTTTCTTTTTTTTTTTATCCGTAATCTCCAGAGGGATTTTCGAATGCTGGCATGGCAGGTCAGTGGCGAAAAGCGGATTAACACTTATAGAGGCCACACTTTAAATTGTTGGGCCTAAGTTCCAGTTAATGAAATGGTTGATATTATTTTTTATGTATACAATCATCTAGATCCATATGAGTTTAACCCCAAATGAATTGACCCAAATAGGAACAATTTCAAACCCAAGTCATGCGCAAAACCATTAAAGTACATATGAGTGCTTTAAATTAGAACAAATAGCCATATAAATAATGACAATTAGGTCAAATTTTGCAATTAGTCCACAACACATTGGCAAGTACGACTACATGGGACAGATGTCCACCCAGATGACTGGCATGTACGATTACATGGGTAAGATGACCGCCCAGATGAGTCACTAAAGCTGACTGTAACAGAGATGCGAGAATAGTTCCGCTCTTTCAGTGGAAGATACATGCATCTCCCCACATCCGACTACCACAATGTGAGCACCACCAATGAGGAAAATACGGATGAGTGAGAGGGGGAGAGATGTAGGAACTCCATGATTTTAGATTGTTTTCTTTTGTTGTTTTGTCTTAAAGATCATTTGGTTTGAAACAACTATGATCGTCGATTGACGTTATGTGGTTTTTAATTTTAGGTATGTGTGAACAATTATGAGTTGTGTTTTATTGTATTTCTTGTTAGTATGTCGAGTTGTTATGTTATGAAGTTAGGGTTTCTTGATATCGTGATTGAGCACTGATTCTGTTGGTTTCAAATGTAATTTGTACGAGCAAACTAACATACACATCGACATACATAAGCAAAAAAGTCGAAGGTCATACGCTGATTTTCCTATACGAGATTGACCTTTTACTGTATGTGGTCGACCCCGAAACCAAGAACCAAGAATTTTGATCTACTTTTCACGTCAAAGGGAATGGATGAATAGATAGTACTTTAATCTTGTATCTGGTCGACCTCTTGCTGTATATGGTCGACCATTTCAGTACTTTATGATCCGCCATTTTCCTTCTGACTACATTAATAAATTGAAAGGTTGACCGAAAATTTATTGAGGTTGACCACTAAGGTATCGACTAACTAAATACGGTAGACCACTATGTTATTTAAGATCAACCATGAGGTTTCAGCAGAGTGACCACGATGATGAATTTAGTCGGCCGCGTGTAGACATAGGTCGACCGAAAAGTGCAAGTTACAGTAATTGCAAGTCACCATAAGCGCACCAAAAAACTTATTATCCCCTAAAAATAATAAAATTTACAAATCTCGCTAGTTGCACCACACACTGATAATGAATTATAAGCTGGGAAGTGAGAACAATAAATTACTGACTCACCAATAACTCAATACATATACAGCAGTTGACAAAATCGGGTGGACCCTTTTCTATTAATTTATTTATTGGGTCACATATAATAATTGGCTAGGCCGACATAATAAACATAATCGTATAGGTGTATGTGTAGCTCAAGAACTACACAGCTCATAAAATATAAATAAATAAATAAATAAATAAAACTCATTACAAAATTGGTGCAAAATTATAGAAATTTAGCATCCTGGTGGGATGGATCCTGAAATGGTCGGCTTCACGTTGCAGCACACAGATGTCGCCGGTCCAGCGGTTGACTTGACGTCGATGTTAGACAGCTGCACATTCTGGCATGGATGGAGGCTGCTGCAGTTCAAGTGAACAATCTCTGGAGTTCCTGAAGTCCCCACAATGTTGGTAAAACTGATATCCGAAAGCGAAACTTTCGATGGCCCCTAGAAACGTTTCGAAAGGAAAAGGTTAGTGCATGTGCTCATGTAACATCAAGAATCAGTTAATCCCAATAACTCGAGATGCTGGGAGATATTCAATCGTGGATCATATACTACGCAATAACAAGTAACCGGTTTCACGATACGTACCGTGTTCTTGCATGTATTCCAAGGGCAATAATCTTGATCGACGATGATAGGGAAAGAGACGTTGTTCATGATGATGTCATCGAAATGGATGTCGGACGCATCACAAACCTCCCTGTCGGGCCAGGATTTGATCCTCAAACCGTTGAGGGTGTTGGTCAAAGTGCAGTTCTTGACGTGGATCCCTTTGACCGGCGACTCATTCTTGTACATCCCAAGGCTGCCGATGGCGATACCATGGCCGGGACCGCACGTCACGTTCGTCACCGTCAGGTCCGAGATTCCATCTCCGACGGAGATGCAGTCGTCGCCAGTACCGATGTTCGAGTCGAGGATCGAGATCTGAGAAGCTCTCCCCATGTGGATTCCGTCGGTGTTGGGGCTGTCTCCCGCGGCGGTGATGGTGATCTGGCTGAACGTCAGGTTCTTGCCTCCGATTATGATGAAGTGGAAGTTCTTGCTGTCCTTGCTCGTTATCCCTTGGACGAATGCGTTGCTCACGTAGTTGAACCGTAACGTCTGCATGCAGTAAAAAAAACATGCAAAAGTTTACGTACACGTTTAACGTGCATGCATGCATGCATGCAACGTAGGTGGGAAAGTTTAACGTACCACAGCAACGGACTTCTTGGTTTGCCATACGGCGGGTCCTTTCCCGTCGAAAGTACCGCCGCCGTTGATGTTCAAGTTGTTGACGTTGTCGAAGAGGAACCACGTGTCGCCGGAGATGTCGGCGGGGGCACTGATGGTTCCCTGAACTTGGAATGTGATTTCCGGAGCCTTGCATGGGCCTTTCAAGTCTGTCCTCCCGCATAAGAATGTCCCCGTCGGAACAACGATTGTGGCCGGAGTGGTTGACGCGCAAGCATCGGCCCAAGCTTTCACTAACGCCTGCACATGCCATAATTAAGTAATTAAAGATAGTGTTTTTTTTCCGTTGGTTATTGGCCTCAAGGTTCGAACTCAGGTTACAGAGAGTGATGAATTAACAAATTGCAATAATAATAATAATAATAATAAAGAATTTAGAATTTATTGGGTGGTGAAGCAAAATAATTATTAATTACCGCTGACATATCTGTCTTCTCATCTCCGACGGCACCGTATTTTGTGACGTCAAACAAACAACCGCCGGCGGCGGCAGGAGCAGGACCTGTGGCAGGCATACCGGGTTGACCCGCACCACGTTGGGCTCCAACCATATTGAAAGATGCAACTAAAACGAGAAGGAACATTGCCGGAAAGGTTTCCATCAGAGTACCGGAAGGCTTCATGTTCTTATTCATTTTTTTATTTTTTAATCTTTTTTTTTCCTTGTGTTTATTCTTTATTCTCCTCTTTATTGTTGTTTTGGATGTTAAGGATGAATGAAAGTAAAGTGAACTGAATCCTGTTTATATAGGAAGATTTTCTTGGAAATAATTAGAAAATTACTAATTATGAGCTTCACAAAAAGGGGCGGGATTATAGGAAAAAAATCGTTAATCAAGAGGAGTTTTAGGTTCCTAATTGAAGTAAAACCTGAAAAATGGAAGAAGTCAATCGCAATAAACTCGCGACTTGCTCCAGGTGATGCGTTGGAAACTAACCAAATGGTGATAGGACCAGTGCTAAATTTATAGGACTAGTATAAGCACATTGTAATAGATTATAATTAATTTGATAATCAGATATACACTATTAGTTCGTGAGTTATTCGAGGACGGACTTTAGGTGATTATGATTTATGAAGTTGTTATATAGCGTTATGATGGAGCGGGTAATCAACAAACAATAAAAAAGTAATATGCATATATATATATATACACTACGTGGCGATGTCGCGACTTGTCGCGGGACGGAGATGGCCTATGGCATCTATTATGTGATCCGTTATGGTGTTTTGTGAGTATTATTAGTCTAAAATTAATTTTTTGTTAGCAGTTTTGTTAGTAATATTGAATTGACAATATGATATTGACTGAGAATAGATATATGGTGGTCAACATACAATTTAAAAATTTAAACATCTTGGCTAATAAATGATATTTACCTAAACCTAAGTAGACTCATTGATTATAGGTAGGGTATGTGTGACATATATATATGAGTTTGAAAGTTTGAAGATGGGTTTGGGTAGGGTATAGATATTTATTTTCATAATCTAAAGATGTGTATGAGTTGCGTATGAATACCCATTTATTCGAGGGTGTTTTAATTGCACATACAAAAAAAACTTATTAATAGAACTTCAATAGTTAAGGTACTAAGTTGTAATACAAAAAATTAGGTACTAAAATGTAATGTTTCATAAATATTTTGAGGACTTATATGTCAAAAGAATTAATTTAGGTTATAAATCTAAAGATATATGAAGTTTAGATACCCAACTGTAATTTGCATAGTTGAGGCTTATTTCCTTTTATGGTGATGTATTTAAGATGATAATTATTTTTTTTTTATTGAAAATAGAAAAAATATTTGATATGTATAACTGTTGACAATTCCATGTATAATTGATGAAAGTTCTAGCCAGGGTAAAAAAGAAAAACTCTAGAGAGAAGCAAAAGGAATACAAACGGGAACTCGCTTAAAATTTCATGCCTTCAAATCTCATAGTGGAAAATGATGACTTTCTAATAAGTAATAACCATATGTAATTGTTTTTAATTGGACTCAACATTGAGCTGAAAAAGTTAGTGGTTCAAGGTTCAATTATTAATTATGTAGACTGTTGTTCAGTCGTGTACGGACTCGTTCATACTTGTGATTAGAATGCATAAAAATAGTATACTAATTAGAGTTAGACGAAGAAGGCAAAGAAAGAAATAAAGAATGGGTTATGGAAGGCGAGTGAAAAATGAAACGAAGGGGAAGTAGATGATGAAAATGTTTTGACCAATTCTTTTAGTTGGCCGTCAATGTAACAGTCAACCCTTTCCACCGTAGCAATTTATTAACACTTGCTTATGTAGATGTCACATATTTTGTTACATGGGTTAGTAGAAGTGTGTTTAGTGCCCTGTACTAAATGAGTTTATAAATTCGCTCTTGCAATATTTTAGAATCATCTCTCTTTTATCATATTTTTTAATGTTTCACGTTTGAGTGATACAACATCTTGTATGGTACAAACTAAATTTATACTTTTATGTTATGTTGATTTGGATCAAAAGGATTGATGGATTGGATTCATGGATTCAAATGAAACCTAACATTGGACCAATATGTGTAAAAGTAAAAAATGTACGTACGAAAATCTCATAAATTTAGATACCAAAACATAATTGTTCAATGATTTTAAATTAAAATTAAATTTGGGTTATCAAAATGAAAATTATACATTATAGTGACTAAGTTGTAATTTAATTAAAATTGTAGTATCAAAATACAAGAATTTAGGCAACAGTAACTTGCCTTGAACTTTATATATACTAATATATGGTTGACTAAAATAAGGTGTTTAAGCCCGTCCTTCATTCGCAAATCACATATCACCAGATAGTAGGGACAATCACATCTCTATAGGAAATTATGTTAATGTTTTATGACGTTATGACGAAAGTGGGGTTGCTCTGACTATATCTCTTTAACATTCCCTTGGACTTAGGCTATCAAAATTACGAATGAGTATTGGAATTTATGTTTAAGGTAAAAAACCATTTTCTGAATGTTCAGGATCATACCAGACCAAGTCTCACATGCGTGCACTACAAGAAAATATATCTTCAGTTATGGGAACCACAATCCAGAGAGCTTCCCGTGACCATTGGTGGGCGGGAACTGAAACCAAAAAGCTTTTATTGGCGCATTCACTTGGTGGTATCCAAAATATGTTGGCCCTCGAAAATTTTCAAGTGACCGGCCCTTGTCTGCTTTGGATTTTATTTTTAAGTTGTTCTCATTTTTAAGATAAACTCATTTTCGATTTTTTCAAAACACCTCTTCTCAATTAAGGTTGATTTCTTACCTATAAATTTTGAATTTCTTCTATACTTCGTTAATATGCAATTTGATTAAAGCGTTACACTTCCATTCGAGCCTCCATCAAAAGAGGGAAGGAAAAAAAAACACAAAAAATTTATATTCGACCTTCCCTTTTGTCCATCTCTCTTAAATATCAATCCACGAATCTTCTTATTCCTCCTTCTCCATTCTGTTACTCTAGATATTCCTTCCCGCAAGATTGGCATAATATCATACAATGTTGGGCTGTTTTATTTTTTAATATTGTATCATTTCCCTAGTGGAGCTCTACTAATATCTCTCTCATGGAGATGATTTCCTCCATTCTCTGTTCTATCTTCTCATATGTGGAGACTCTTTTGTCTTAGTGTCAAAGGGTTGATGTCTTCAGACTTCAACAATCTTCATCTTTTTATTCCTTCTGTTTACCTCCTCGTTTCTCATAATCTGTCTTTAGATTTGGGGACATTTAGTTATTTGTGTCTCGAATCAAACTCATAATAGATTCTTGATACTGGCTTAATCATACATGTTTTAACCCTTGTATCTGGAGAGTTTCTTGGTCATTTAGTTTGAAACACTCTTTCATATGCCCATTTTATGCTAGGTTACGTTACATTTGCCATATTTTAAATCCTAGCACTTGGATGAAGGTTAGAAGCGAGTTTCAGGATATTTGGGAGTCAAAACGGGACAAAAAGTGGAGTCTACCCCAATGTCACAGTTTAAATGGTGACATCTGCTTGCATGTCACGGGCTGGAGTTGAATGTCATAGTTTAAGGGGTCAAAAACTCTCCTAGGCCGTGAAATTGATGAAAAAGGAAGAATCTTTTCCCCATGTCACGACTGGACCCTTAATGTCATGACATGCTCGCATAGACCATGTCTCGAAAATGACATAGACCATGACATGCTCGCACTTAATGAAATGACAGTTTACGGATGTCGCAGCCTGTAGTTGAATGCCATGGCCATAACATTGGACATGACATGGCCTTTGTCGTGTATATAAGAGGATTGTTGCTATTCTAGAGAAAGAGAGCTGGGTTTTTGGATCTAAAACACCCAAGGGACAAACCCTAGAGGGGGAGAACGATTCAGGGTCGATCTTGGATCGAAATTGGAGGGTATTTTGGAATTGGAACTCGTGGAACAAGTTCGTTCATGGAGATTGATGATATAGAGCGGATTATTATATTCTCTCTCTTCTTTTCCCTTCACTTAGGTTTTGAGGAACCTTAGTCATATTTTGTTTGACCGGATGATTTTATGAGTACTCTTTCTTGTTAATCATGAGTTCATATTCAATCTATGCATGATTCATGTTCAATTCAACTCTAATCAAGATTATTGTTTCTACTAAGATATAATAGGGAATACTTGATCAGTTCAATATAATGAGCACCATCAAAATGAAAGTACTGGATCGATTGTGCGATAGTGAGTGAATTCACTGCTTTGTATTGAGTGAGAGTCTTGCACAAAAGAGAGAGTTTAGTGTAGAACTCCTTGATCGGTTGTATTAGAGAAGAATACGTCCCTCTAAGCAATCGTCTCAAGAGGGCCTTGAATGTTTTAATCTAACTTCAAAGCTTAGTCAAGGACTTTCTGCATTATGATTAAAGAGTGAAATAAACTTGAGAATAATCAATCATAAATCCAGCTAGTGGGTAGGAGGAATCAATACTTGAGTGAGTTTTCAACTTGTAAATAGTCTAGCCGTAGTTTAGTTTGTTAGCATAGTTGTAGTTCTTTAAATTGAATTTGATTGAGCTAGATAATAAACCAAATCTGACAAATAGTACATCTATAGATTTGTGGATTCAATATTTTATTAATTGTGTCACTATACTACGATCTTGTCTTTTGTTACACTTAGCCATTGATTAGAGTGATGTTTTTAGCGAGTCAGTTCTTGAAGGATGGAGACGCTTGATTATGGTCGCTGTTGTTTGCCGTTTGCCTCTTTGGTGCTGATGTGTTGAGGATTTGCATGTACGGAATGAAATTAGTGGAATGAAATTAGTATAAGGAAACATAAATTTGTTCAATGACTTTGTATACAAATGGTAAATATTCAATAGTGGAATGAAAATAAGGGGGAAAAAACTTGTAATGCAACGCTATTGCTATATTACTAAATAAATCTTGAAAGATTATCCAATTCAATTGTATTCCCAATGTGGTTCCTTCCAAATTATTTAAAATTTTCATATATATCCTCATATTGTCATTTTACCAAAATTGTAAAAATATTTTCTCAATTGGATTACAACGTCATTATTAGAGTGCCAAATTTGCAATTTGCTGAAATGGTTAAATTGCTAAATTAATCCCTATAAATACCACGATGATTATTTTCACAGAGCAATCAAGTTAGAAAAGTAACCACAAACTTAGGAATCGAGAAAAGAAAACAAGCAAGAGAGAAACTAGCCTATCTAGATCAGAAAAAAATGGCAAAGCTTGCAATGGTTGCCCTAATCTTGTGCGCCGTCCTATTCAACTTTGTTGCATCCAGTAGAGGTACAAAGCTTTTACACTTGCTTCAAAAATTCAATTGGGAAACACAATTTATAGCTTAAATTCAGATTTGACCCACCAATATACTAATGTTTGTTTAATTTTGTTCTTGTTGACTATTTAATTTAGATGTAGATCAGCAACTCAAGTATTGCCCAAGCACAGATGTGTTCCCAGGAGGATGCGGTGGTCAGCTACAAGAACAATGCCTTCTCGACGTTCTGGGGAAGTATGGCGCCGGCAGCATGCCCAAAAACTGCTCCTGCACTCCTTCTGGCGCTCAACACATTTGCAATTGCCAAATTGTTTGCCGTGCCTGAAAAATTTTCGTGTTCTATATATCTTTGATTACGATTATAATCACTACTAGTATAGTTGGAGTTGGATTCATACTTGAGATGTGTAATGCCTTGAACGGTATACTTTATTTCCGTTATAATAACACAAGACACCAGTTTTGAATTACATTGAATTATAATTAATTACCTCATCAAAACCATAGAAATGCAAACCAAACCAGTGTGATTTCTAAGGTAAGTCGGATTGATAAGTAGGATCGCGCGATATTCCCAATCGAGAATTTGAAGCAACAAACTTAATTCCTGAGATCCAACCAATTGATATGTATCTTCTTTCATCGTTATCAATACGGGTGCGCATTCGTAGTATACAAATTAAAAAAAAAACGTTTTACATACATCTCCTCTAATTTTTGAGCCATTATATATGTAAGAATAAGGAAGGTATTTTACCCGAACTATTTGTGAATTATTTCATTATATTGCTGCTTTAGTGCAATGATGAGCAGAAGCAACGTTCCCATAGGCCATTTGATTTGGAAGCCGGCCGGCAATATAATATATCCTGCCGGTTCGAGTAGAAGACTGTTTGTCGAACTCTTTGGCTGATTTGTCTCTCCTACTGTTTGATTTCTCCGCCCCTCTGATTTTTGTGTTTGTTGAGATGTGATGTTTCCGGCGGCCGCGTTATACCTTTCACTTTGAGGGAAACGCTAAGCTGCCGCACTTAAGGGGTCGTTTGGATGTGGAAATTTGGAAACGTGGAAATTTGCTTGAATTTCCACATTTTACAAAAGCAAGGAATTGGTTGTGGAAATTGAGTGAAATTCCATGTTTGGGAAATGGTTTATTTATGTGGGAATTGGTGGTATGGAATTTTGAGGAAATACAAGAATGCCCTCTTTGATTTATATATAAGGAGGGGTTCATTACCAACTATTGCTACTGTGTTTCTACTAACGACTATTTGCTGTTAGCCTGCTACTAGCTGCTTGTAAGTTGTAACCAACTCTGGTACTATTTAATAACCGCTGCTAACTACAAAATCACATGCCAATTAGTGAGTCAAGTACCCATTAAGACTTTGTCAAAAAAAAGTACCCATTAAGACGAGATACCATTTTATACATTTATCTCCCAAAGAAAGCAAAGATAAAGAGAGCAGCAGAACAATCTTGGAATGAACTATTCCCATCCACCATATGATCAGAAACAAAGTAATGGAATCAAATAATTGAAACCATAATGCACTACTTCCCACTTCTCTGCTATATATTTGGGCCACAGTTGACTCTGGTTTTTTAGCAAATCAAGCCATTTCTTTTAGCCTTGGATCATACAGCAACCAGTCGCAGCACTCCCACAGACAAACTGACCATGACCATGACGATGGTGCCATCCCCTGCTGCTAACTGTTATTGCTTCTGCTGCTAACTGCTAATACTGCTACTAATTAGTGATAAGTAGACTTGTGCTGTTGTTTTGTGAATGTCGATCAATTGCAGTGACAGATAGTTCCATGCATGTATTACCTACCTTTTTCACATATCATCACATCAGTTGAGTTTCCAAGCTATTTCCCATAACAAATAGTTCCACACAATTAGCGTCCACAATAATTCCATGCAATTTTGTTCACCCAAAACTACAGATTGAAATCTAGAATCAACAATTAAAGCCTAACTTGACTAGCGACGGACCCTAATTAATCGACAAAGAGAAGAGAAAGTACCTGAGGACGGCTATATCTGGCGTCGATCCCGTAGAAAAACTTTAGGAATCGCATAGGTGTGGAATGTGGATTACTTGGTGGCGGAAGCAGGTGAGGGAGAGCGAGATCGTGGTAGCGGCGGAGAAGATTACCGAGCTGGTGATTGGAGTTGTTGGGGCGACAGGGGAAGTGAATTCGGAGGCAGCGGCGGAGACGATAGAGCGACTGAGAAAAAGCTTCTCCTTCTCTCGTGGGGTACCACCGAAATCGGATTTCGATTTTCTCTGAGCTTGCCGTTGTTCTTCGTTCCTTGTGGTCGTCGTTGTGGAGCACTTCGTATCAACGAGAGGGAAGAAAGAAGAAGTGGGAAGATAATGGAAGGAAGAAGGAAGGGTCAATTTGGGCAAGAAAATTGCTTCAATCGCAGTAATTGAAATTCCGGGGGGGTGGGGGCCGTAATTCTCATTCCCGCGTCTGTTGTAATTGTGCCAATTCCCACGGCCCAATTTCCATATTTATTTTTTGCTACCAAACATGGAATTTCCAGCCAATTACTGCATAACATGGGAAAGAGGGCCAATTCCCACGTTCAATTCCCACAGCCAAACGACCCCTAAATGTCTCACTTTCTACCGATAATAATAATATAGGTCATCACAAAATAAAACAAAAGGCAAGAACAAGGATAAAATGGAACACAATTCTTTTGCTTGGATGTATCTGGCTATTTGGTTCGGGTTTTTTTGTTTTACCCAAAACTGGATCGAGACCGGATAGTAAACAATCCAATCCAATTTTTGGGCTTAGATTTGAGGTAAAAAACAGTTTGGGACCGGATCAAAAATTGGATAAAGACCGGATAAGAGAGTTCAACACCCAAAATTTAAGAGTAATTAGCATAAACGGTCACAAACATTTGCACTTAGTACAAAACTTAACCAACTCCTCACGCTTTCAGGCCTTAGGCCACTCAAATCCACACAAGCTCAATATAAAATCAAGACCGAATTGGGACCGGACCGAGTCAAGACCGGACCGGATCAAGACCAGACTGTATCCAATCCAATCTTTGGTCCTTATATTTTCGAAAAGACCGAACTGGACCAGATCAATTTGGACCAATTTAACCGGACCGGATCGTATAGCCACCCCTAGATCCCTAGATGTATCCATTATTTCTCCAAAAATCTGAAGCAAATTTTTTAACAAAACGAACTTCTTTTTGTTGAAAAGCATATATATATCCCGTCACAAATCAAACTTGTATCAATAATTCGAATTGTTGGTAGAGGTTCATGTATAATACTTAACAGCTTCTTTACACGCCCTCCTAAAATGAAAGTCAATTAATGGCTTGAAATTTGCACAGGCCCAACCATACCACGTGCCTTAAGACAACAGTTAATATTAGAAGGTATTGTGAGCACCTGAACCGTACTTGATCTCAAACTACAAATCAACTCTTATACCATGTCATAAATTAACCGGTTTCAGAAACTCGAGTTAGTAGAATAGTTCCCATCGATTTCAATTACAGTGAAATAATACATCCAAGTGATGGAATCATATAATGCTTCTGGAGCAACAGAGACGGAGCCAAAGATCCAGAAAGACTTTTTACCATATTGGGCTCTCATGTACATCCAACCACGACCTCTTGCACATTTTTTTTCCAACTATAAATAAAAAACATCATCATCACTCATCAGCATTCAACTAAAGGAAGAGGAAAAACAAACAATCTACAGATCGGGAAATAAAGAGAGTAAAAGAATTGATCGCCATGTGGAGGCAGCAGCAGCAGCTGCTCATCCCCTCAAAATTACGAGCGGCGGCAGCCGTTTTTGCAGCCTTGGTAATAACAATGGCACGTCCCTCGGCCCAGGATCAAAGGACGGTGTACGTTCAAAACGAGCTGAGCGGCAAGAAGGTGATAGTGCGTTGCCAATCCAAAGACGACAGTATTGGATCCCACGTCGTCGACGTGGGCTCCGATCTGCGCTGGGGTTTCGGCGGAACGGACAGCACAGTCTTTTGGTGCAATGTGGCGGTGGAAGATCGACGTCTTTCTTTCGAGGCATTTCGAGGGACGGATGACTACATTTGTTGTCGTGATATTACCTGGGTGGTGAGGGATGATGGGGTTCATCTACTGACATCGGGCGGCGAGGACTTCCGGCCATATCGACGGCGTTGGAACCATCTATAGCTCTAGCTAACATCCATACTTTGAGTTGATATTATTTGAATCGGATTATGTGTTGTTCACGGTAGGGGTGACTATACGATCCGATTCGGTTAAATTGGTTCGAATTGATCCGGTTTCGGTTTGGTCTTTTTGAGAATATGAGGACCGAAGATTGGATTGGATACAGTCTGGTTTTGACCCGATCCGGTCCCAATCCGGTCTTGATGTCAGATTGAGCTTATGGGGTTTGAGTGGGCTGATGCCTAAAAGGATGAGGAGTTGGTTAGGTTTTGGGTGTTGGGCTCTCTTATCCGGTCTTTATTCGGTTTTCGGTCCGATCTCGTACGATTTTTTTTTACCTCAAATCTAAACCCGAAAACAGAATTAGATTGTTCGCTATCCGATCCCAGTCCGGTCTCAATCCGTGTTATACAGTCCGGTTTGAGGGTAAAACCAAAAATATCATACCAAATAGCCATCTCTAATTCACGGGATGTTACAGGTGTCTCACCTACCCGTGAACTAACTAAAATAGATTGTCTTAATGAATCATTGTAAATCTGTGTTTTTTTTTTTTTTTACTTTTGTGAATTATCCGATCATATCGTAACACCTTATTTCATGTATCATTTATCTTTGTCCGGTATTTGTTCCCGTTGCTAATATATGGATGATGAGATAGTCGGAGAAACCCGGCCGTCATCCCCTGGGCAGCCGTTACAAACCATGTTGTTACAGTAATCATAATGTTTGGGCTAATTCTTTACCGTGTTCTAGTCATTATATTTATACATAAGGTTGATGGTGAGATTTTTCATTGTCTTACGAGGGATGACAACTAGGATCGAATTGGGAGCGGAAAGTGCATATCAATTATGCTAAATGAATTAATTTGGGTGAGGAACGAAGTAGCTCGATTGATAAGAGAGCTAGAAAAGGGGTACGATCGCTAACGGTCAGCGGTGTTGACCATCCAAATAGACGGTCAAACCACACGTCCGACCAATTGAGTCTATATGATGTATAGTCGAGGTCGAATAATAATTTTTGAAACCAGTTGATTATTTGGCTTTCGAACAAGAATAAGGTATTCCTTTAAGAGGGCCATTGTTGTTGCTGTTAATTGTAGGTGAGCCTTGGTTAATTGGGCTTAAAATATTGATTTTGATTATTTTAACGAGTTGGGCTAAAAAATGGGCTTCGCTAATTCTACCTGCTTAGACTTGACCCTCTAGCGGAGCAATTTCCCTTCCTTCCATTCATTTGAAGATCTATCTGTATCCGGTTTGAGTATGTGAGAAAGTAGCCACCGTGTGTTTGAAGACAGACATGTGGTGGTGGCGGCGGCAGTGACAATCAAACGTCGGGAGAGATTGGTTCCAGAAATCAAGGAGGGGAAGTCAGAGGTTTCGTAGTTGGAGGGTGAGGACTTGAGGGGTTTTTTTTTTTTTTTTGGGGATGAAAGGGTAGAATTAGGGGGTAACATAGTATTTTAGCCCTTAATTTCATGACATTATGTTGATCAGATTTTGGTTGAACCGGATTTAATGGTTATGGGACGGCAAAACAAACGTAGGGGTGAGTTTGAGCCTTGCTTAAACCTAGAAGTGTATGTTTGATGTAATTTAAAGTAGAAGGCATGTTGGAGAAAAATACAAGTAGTGGGGTAAATTATGCACATAACTCTGCAGTAAACTCTTGTTAGTTAAATTTATTTTTTCTTATTGTTGAACCCCGCTATCTATCTGATCCACATATTATAATGAAAACCCTGACTATAGAGATGTCACATGGTTCAATCGAGGTACAAAAGGTTTATATGTCGGTTTTAACAAAGCATACGAGAAAATGAGAAATCATTTAACACCAAACAAAGTGTGCATGTATATAATCTATCTTAAGACAATTTATTTATAATTTTCAACCATATTTAAATAAAATACTACATTACAAAAAAAATTGAAAAATAACCATATTTAAATATAACATTTAGGGTAAGCATCCAAACGTTTATACTTGACTTCTACCCTAACATCAACATATAAATGTCACATGTTTTGACTACTGCTTGATACCGGTGGCCTTTCCTGCTAAGACACGTTCCGTCAAAATATATATGAGACATCCATCATATTTGGCCACAGCTAGAAAAGGGACGAACACTGGGTTGTTATGTGTCTGTATATTGATTGATCATCACAACTTATTTGAAGGACGCTTCACAAACATTTGGCAACCTAGCAAGGAGTACTGTGATCTGGGCCAAACCAGCTAGCCAGTAACCACGCATTTATTTCCCATCTAAACTTTTAACATATATACTAACAAAGGGGGAGATAGTAGAGATGAGAACGAATGGGCACCCACCAGATAGCATATATTCATTACCATGCATGCTCGGATCGGATCGGATTTCGTGTATTCTCGATTATTTATGGGTAATCATTTTTCTTTATATATAACTTCAATCAGCTTGTTAACATTCACACACATACTCGCATGACATAAGCAGAAAAGTACTTTGATTTTGATTACGTTGTGTTTGTGAGTTATTTCAGAATAACTGTCGTCCATGTTGCACACAAACCAGTTATTTGGAAAATAACTCATAACAATAACCCATCAAAAAAAGCATATACAACTTGGATAGTAAGAAAACCATGCCCACCCATTCCCCCACCCCACGATATTCGAATTCGAATTTTACCCTTACTCACTAGAAAGTAAAAAACACTTCATGTTCGAGTTTTATCCTACCTAATTAGATCGGATTCTAACACATATATATATTTTTGTCAGGGAGAGAGAGACTTCTTCCATAGAGGGCTTCCACGTAATTATCTCCTGCTAGCTTTCTATAAAAGGCCCCCCAATTAATGGTCCGCAACATCATTCATCATCATTAAAAACACTGAGAAAAGCATTACCCCGTACGTACGTCGATCGGTCAATTCATCTGTCTTCTTGGAGCACCGCAAACTCTGCTTTGATGGGCCTGAAAGTCGAAATCACTTCCACCGAATCGATCAAGCCGTCTTCTCCCACCCCTCACCACCTCCGAACCCACAACCTCACCATTCTCGATCAAACCGCACCGTCTTGCTACGTCCCGCTCTGCCTCTTCTTCTATCCCCACACTTCTTCTTCTTCTTCTTCTTCTTCTTCTTCGTTTCTCGAGAGCCTCAAGGGTTCCCTCGCCAACACCCTCAACGTCTACCACCCGCTCGCGGGCCGGTACAGAGACGCCTTCGCCGTCGACTGCAACGACGCCGGGGCCGAATTCGTCAACGCCCGCGTCGTCGCCGGCTCCATGTCCGACGTCGTCCGGCAAGCGCCGGACGACGACGTTTTGGTGCCGCTGCTCCCGTGCCGCCCGCGTGGCCGACACGTGGACTCGGAGGGCGAGCTGGTGCTCCTGGCTGTCCAGGTCAGCTTTTTCGACGGAGGAGGGGTGAGCATCGGGGTGTGCGTGTGGCACGGGCTCGCCGATGCCTGCACGCTCGCCTGCTTTCTCGCCACGTGGAGCGGATTCGCGACGCAATATTCCGGGGGCCGCACCATCAGCGAAGGAAACGACGCCGTTGTTGAGGATTGCACTGCCGTGTTTCCTCCCGCGGACCTTTCGTTACACGGCGAATGCATGGAGAGGTTTCGAGCGGCGGTGGCCACTCCCGGCACGAGAACCAAGAGGTTCGTGTTCGACGGCGGCAAGATCGCGGCTCTCAGGCGGGGAATCGAGGAGAGCAGCTGGCGGCGGCGGCTAGTTGCGGAGCCAGAATTTGAAATCAGGTGTGTGTCTTTTTTTTTCCCCGATAATTGATTAAAATGCTCTCAAGACGTAACGAAATGGTCACACAAGTATCACGATTTTATAAGAAAACAATTCCATCATGCATGTCCTTTCATCCATATTTCCATGCAAAAGTATGTGGGTAGTTTTTTTTTATGTAAATATGTAGCATTACGGGTTGATTGGATGTCTTTTTTTTTTAAATTAATTTTTCACTGGTTTTTATGTAACTATGTAACCTTTTGATCAATTACTCATTTTTTTTCATTATATAAATATCTAAATAAGTTCTTAACATACATAATAATAATTGAATTTTTTTTTCCTGCAGTGAAAAGATACCCTTACGTCACGTTAAATTGGTGAGTTCCACACCTTCCATAAATATAAATATTTCATGTATTATTTTTCACCAAAAATTTAACTGTGTTCCGCCAAACCCGGCCTCCGCCGCTGGCAACAGCAACAGCCGACGCGCGTGACGGCAGTAGCAGCGGTCATTTGGGCAGCGGCCATCAAGATAGCAAGAGACAACAAGAAGAAGAAGAGCCGACGCGATGACGTTCACATAGCTGCGATGGCGACCAACTTGAGGCCGAGGATGAACCCGGGTTTCGCGGAGCACGTGATGGGCAACCTCGTACAGATCCCGGTCTTCGCGGAGTGGCCGCTAAACGACGAGGCGGCGGTGGAGAATGCGGCCGAGCACGGGCGCGGTGGCTACTACGGGGCTCTGGCCGGGAAGCTGAGGGAGTCGGTGAGGAATGTGACCGACGAGAGCGTGAGGAAGGCGGCGGTGGCGGGGAGCGGGGGGTCGCCGTCGTCGTTTTTGGGCGGGTTGATGAGGCGTTTCGTGGAGGCGCACGACGGAGGGAATCTGCTGGTGATAAGCAGTTGGTGTCGGTTCCCGTTCTACGAGGTGGATTTTGGGGTGGGGAAGCCCAGCTGGATCTGTACCTTCACCATGAGTCATAACCTGGCGGTGCTGATGGATGCGAAGGACGGGGAAGGGATTGAAGCGTGGGTTACGTTGAGCGCCGACGAGATGTCGGAATTCGAGAACGATGCCGGGATGCTTCAATATGCCACCTCATCCTCCAATGGTGTGGGCGTGCATGATTGCGATGTAAATTAATATATAAAAGTTCTGGTCCTAAGTTATTATTTATTAGTGGCTCTCACGCTTCTTCAAGATCTTTCTTTTATCTCACACTACATTCTACAACCATTGTGTTTAGCTATTGTTCGGTAGCTAGGTTTACATCTATTGTCGATTATTGTGTTTCCCACAACAATTATTGCCTACTAGGTTTTTTCAGCTCCCTATTGGAGCAACTATCCACTAGGTTTTCGTCTATGACTTTTTGCACAAATCATCGTCTTTGCGAATGAGTAGTTATTTAATAACAGCTATATTGTATTATTTACTAGACTATATTAGTATTTTAGTTACAATGCAATTTGATTGTGTAGGCTGCTATTAGAATTTAGAACCAGACATTTGGCATGGACAAGAAATTTCCTTCCGGCCGGCAATCTCTTCCTGCAACCAAGAATTAATGTTATGACCCGCGGGGGCAAAGTGATGTTATAACAAATTCAACTCATATCAACAAATTTCCACCTTGACTTGAATCCTCCCTCCAAATCTTTAGATGTACTCAGATCCTCTCTCACACACTCTCTCTCTATCTCTCCTACCTCAATGCCCTTAAGGGCCTCAATGTTAGAACATTCAGCAAGTCTAACATAGTCTTGGAACTAGCTCCATGAACATATCAGCAGGATTGTCGCCACTGCCACTTTCTTCACGTTAATCCTTTTCTCTGTACTCAAGAAATGATACATTACATCTATATGCTTAATGGTCACTCAAGGTTTGAGCCTGTAACTAAATTGCCACAAACATTTACAATGTAATAAAATGTCATGTGCGTAACCAAGGTTCAAGAAGGCGCAAGGTGCTAGGTACGTATTGGGGTCCTGCTAACGCCTGGGCATTTTTAGCGATCATAATAATTTTACATAAGACAATGGTGAAGAGTAAGAAAGAAGGTTGGGCCGACCGAATTTGGATACTAAGGGAGAGGAACTAAAGTAGTACATATGATGAGATGGTTTAGGTTGTTTATCAGTCGACGATAGTGAAGAATAAGACAGAGTTTGGGGTCGGCCAAAGCTAGAGACAAGAAGCACTGCAGTCAGAAACATTGAGGCGGAGAAGTCATTGCAGTTTAGAGAATTTTGTTGACCTAGTTTTTATATATATTTTAATTGAGGAAGGAGACATGTGAAGAACGGATCGTTGGGAGGAACTAGTCGAACATAAAGATGACGTCATTTTGGGACATTTTAATACATTTATTTATTATTTATGTTTAATTGCTAGACCGCCTAGCGCATTAATCAAGTCTAACTCCTCCTAGAGGGCGACTAAGCGGAGTTAGGCAGTGTCTACGCATTTGAATGCTTAAGAGTCTGTCGAGGGGCTAGGTGGGGCGTTTTGTCGTGCTCAGGAGTACTCGGAATTATGCTTTCTTGAATCCTGTATGTATCATGATATAACAAAACAATCATTTCGTCTCTTTCCATCTACAATTTCTTTCAAAATACCCAATTAACTTGTTGACTCACTGCAAAAATTAATAGAAAATATCATATGACTAACCAACATTGAAACCTACCTCTCGTACATAGCAAGTTAATTGGACATTTTGGATGAAAATATAGATAAAAAATATAGAATATTTTGTTATATTATGATACTGACACATGCTTTTTGTTGCATTTTAAATGTTTGCGATCATTTTATTACATACAAACCTGACAATTTTGCATGGTCCATGAAACCGTACCGTAACGGCGGTTCAACTACAAAATATCAGTATCGGAGGCTAAACTGGTAGGCGGTATTTAACGGAACTAACGGTTGAACTACGGTTAAACCACGGTTTTGTCATAAAATGCCCTATCGCTGACTTTTCCGGTACGGTTTCATGGACCATGCAATTTTGATCAATTAACCAAATAAAATTTAATTGGTTATTCAAGCAATTGAGGCGGATTAGACTAGAGTCCACTTTCTGAAACAGGCCCGGTCAGGCTCTTAACCTTATTGGCCCAATCGCGGCCTAATTTAGTTTAATTAGTCGCCTGCCCCACCGCTTATCTTCCCTCATCAAAGCCCAAGCCGCGCCCACCTTTTCTTTCTTCTCAATTAGCCGCCGGAACCTCTCCTTGGCGAGAACTCCATTACCAGTTACTAGAGAAGCTGCAAAACAGCGTCGTACTGAAAGAAGGTTTCACGCACTGCTCTCTCGCTTCCTTTCATCCCCGTCAGTCGGCATCCTTCGTTGTTGTAGGTTATTGTCGGTCCAATTCAATCACATCCCGTAAAAGGATTTCCCCAATTCCAATCGGGTTCCTTCGTTTCTTCAAAGCTTTAGGGTTTCAAAGGGGGGCGCACCAGAGGTCCAGGGCAATCTAGGATTCACCGGGGGAACGAAGTGCCGTTGGCTTGAATAAGAAAGTTCGGCGAGGGGGAAGCGAAATTCTGCGAGGTAGGGTTTTTTTTTTTGTATCGGCGAAGAAGCTATGTCGCGGAGGAGGCATGACGAAGATGAGGACGAGATTGAGGATGAAGAGTACGAGGACCAGGACGATCAGCTGATTGACGATGAGGAGTACGACGACGATATGGAGAAACGGGGAAGTTCGAGCAACAGAAAGCGGTCGCGATCGAGTTTCATCGATGATGCGGCGGAGGAGGACGAGGAGGAGGAGGAGGAAGACGACGACGACGAGGACTATGGAGGTGGTGGTGGTGCGAGCAAGAAGCGCAAGACTGCTAGAAAGGGCGCTTCTTTCTTTGATCTGGAGGCCCAAGTGGATACCGACGAAGATGAAGATGATGAAGACGGCGGAGAAGATGGTATGCCCTTGTTTCTGCTTCTGTTTTCCTGCGTTTTTAATTCTATTCCCCCTTCTTCACCTCACATTTGATCTCTTTCTCCAGTTCGGGTTTGAATTTAGGATTTTTAGGCTCTGCTGAATTGAGGTTTCATTACCAACTGTTTGCATCAGCCTTCAGTTTAAGGTGACTTTGTTAGTTCCAGGAATCTCTAGCATACTTGCGATTCAGTAAAAATTGCTATTGAACTGGCATTAATTAGGAACTACTGCCTCCTTTGCTTTCGCTAGTCGAAGCCAAGCTGGATAGGCTTTTTTTAGGTTGAAAGCGCCCCAAAACTAGCTATCTTATAGCAGAGAATAAGAAAAGAAGCACTGCACAACTAAGACTTTGTTAGAAATTACCCCATAAGTTCTTGGCCAACTCTCAAGATTTCGATCTGTCTTCCTAGTAGTTCTGAGGTTTTGGGTTGTTGATGGGTGTGAATTTATTTGGTACTAGTACGCAATGAATATGCTTGTAGGAGTTCTATGGGCCTGGACTTCAGGAAAGCTAAAATGAATATGGTACAAGCTGTCATTGAGTTGAATTCCCCCCACCCCCACCCCACATATGCTATGGAGTATGGAGACTGAAATTTTTACAATGGCACTCTGCTTTTACTGAATTCGCATATTGAGCCTCAATCAGAGTTGTGATTTCAGTGACCCTGAAACCTTCTATGTTCAGCCAGTCAATTCAATGCCAATCTTTGGTCAAGTTGTTTTGCTTTTAGATGGAAACAACTTTAGTATCTATACTTCTCTTGTGCACCAAAGTCAAAGACTGGAGATCTCAGATGCGTTGCCCACTGAATAATCTATGCGCAATTGTCATGTCATTCTTATGCTGCTTATTTCCTATTGAGACTCACGAGGAAGGCCCCTGCTCGTAAATTCATTAGCATTCCTGCTCTGCTCAGAACATTCATTATATTAATAGTCTCTCTCTCGTATTCTATTTCAGTTTCATGAAATTTCACGTTCTAAATCCTGCGTTTTATCTTTCTTCAGTTTTAACCGTAGACTGGCTGGCTGTTTCTGTTCCCAGAAGCTATTAGTAGTCCAAATTTATGCACTCTAATATAAAATCTATAACAAATGATTACAGATGACACATTTGTCATAACAATCAGCTGTGGAATACTGAGTCTGCTTTTTTTTTTTTTTTTTTGTACCTGTGATTTATTTTGGTGATACAAGTGTTATTTAGCTTGAGAATTTTTGTACTTTAGCCTTGGTTTGAATTCACATCAATTATACCAGTCCAACCATCTGATGAAGATATTTCTGTTTCCGAAGTTGACAATCTTAGCCTTCTTTAAATAGTTTTCTCCTTTCCTTCATCTTTTCCCAACTAGTTCTCTCGAAATATACAGAATACCAGATGCATGACATCTCAGCATCCACATATCCCTGCTGGATCTAGATGATATCTTATGGAAGTCTATTGGATGTGGGATGCATGAGAGCACTGCATAACCTTCTATTATTTGTGCAATTTTTTCATTTTGTTTTTTTCTAGGCTCTTGTACACAATATTTTTGGGGTGCTACAAATGTGTAGACCAAGATGGCTCTCTTATGAATTATTTTTAATATACACGATGACTGCTAGTACATGAAGTTTAATATCAACCTTTTCGCACACAGACTTCATTGTTGATGGTGGAGCTGATTTACCTGAGGAGGATGATGGTAGACGAGTTCACCGTAGGCCATTGCTCTCTCGGGAAGATGATGGTGAAGATGTGGATGAAATTTATAGAAGAATTCAGGAAAGATATTCAAGAACTTCTCAGGGTGAATATGATGAAGAGACTACAGATGTAGAACAACAGGCTCTCTTGCCATCTGTACGAGATACAAAGTTTTGGATGGTGAAATGTGCGGTATGCTTTATGTCCTTTTTGTTGATTTTTTTCTTCGGTTGCATGGTCTGTCTTCTGAATGTTGTGCATGAAGACTTTTTGTGTATCAAATAACAATGTTGAGCTCAATATATTAGATTGGGCGTGAACGAGAGACAGCAGTCTGCCTCATGCAGAAGTGCATTGATCGAGGTCCTGAGATGCAAATTACGTCTGTTGTTGCCCTTGATCATCTCAAGAATTATATATATATTGAAGCCCACAAAGAATCCCATGTCAGGGAGGTATGCTAGTGATATAAAGCTTATCAATCTTTCTCCATCAAGCAATTTTGATGATTTAACGCATATTGTAACTTTTTGTTAATTATGCACTTTTGGGTGGTTTGGCTTATGTTTCAGGCATGCAAAGGACTTCGGAATATATTTGTTTCTTCGAAACCTATGCTTGTCCCAATCAAAGAAATGACGGATGTCCTTTCTGTTGAAAGCAAAGCAATTGACCTTGCAAGGGATACTTGGGTCAGAATGAAGATAGGAAATTACAAAGGGGACTTAGCCAAAGTACGTGTTTCTACTTCATCCGTGCCTTATTTTTTTTTCAAATCATCAAATAACCGTTTATTGTCTTCTCTCGAAGGTAGTTGATGTGGATAACGTGAAGCAGAGAGTCACGGTGAAGTTAATTCCCAGAATTGACTTGCAGGCTCTTGCAAGTAAACTGGTAAAGAATGTTCTCCATGTAGATTTGCTGGGTTCACTTGACTTTTTGCTGTTTTTTGATGAATGAACACTGTTTGTGGACAAAATGAGTTTCTTTACATTGTTGTGCACACTGTGATTTGTATTTCATTATGCAATCAGTGCGATTAAGTTCTGCAGTGTGTTTGTTTAGCGTAGTTACCAGTAATCTTTCTTTAACAGGACGGCCGAGCAGTCGCAGAAAAGAAGGGAATTAAGCCTGCTCCTCGCTTTATGAATTATGATGAAGCTAGGTAGCACTGAATACTGGATCTCTTCATTGTTGTGTCTTAGAACGAAGCACTCTCGGCCTCATATCTCTTAAATCTGTTGTCAGGGAACTTAACATTCGCGTAGAGCGGAGAAGAGATCCAATGACGGGGGACTACTTCGAGAGTATCGAGGGCATGTTGTTTAAAGATGGTTTCTTGTACAAAACTGTGTCAATGAAATCCATTACTGCTGCGAACATTAAGCCAAGTTTTGATGAACTTGAGAAGTTCCATAAACCTGGAGAACATGGTGATGATGATATGGCCAGCTTGTCAACTTTATTTGCAAACCGGAAGAAAGGACACTTCTTGAAGGGTGATGCAGTTATCATTGTCAAAGGAGATTTAAAGAACCTTAAAGGATGGGTTGAGAAAGTTGAGGAAGATAGTGTACATATCAGACCGGAGGAGAAGGGTCTTCCTGTAAGAAGATCAAAGGCTTTCTTTGTTTAAAGTACTCCTTGTGGTTTGCTTTACTTTTCGGGATTCTCATTTGAATTTATTGACTTGGCATATGTCACTTATTTCAGAAAACACTTACAGTACATGAGAAGGAGCTCTGCAAGTATTTTGAACCGGGTAATCATGTTAAGGTTGTATCTGGCACTCAAGCAGGTGCAACTGGCATGGTTGTCAAGGTTGAGCAACATGTGCTCATTATTCTGTCGGATACAACCAAGGAACATGTAAGTCCATCTCTAGTTCCTCGGCACTATTTCCGTTCTTGAGCAGTTGTACAAAATACTTCTTCATAATTGTTTGAGAAACTACACATTACTCTTTGTTGGCTCAGATGCGTGTATTTGCTGACGATGTTGTTGAAAGCTCAGAAGTGACTACTGGTGTTACCAAAATCGGAGACTATGAGCTTCATGATCTTGTTTTGCTGGAGTAAGCTGTTTGTTTTGGAAGGATAGATTTTCTCTTGTTCTTTTAATCATTTATGTCTTTTTTTTTTTCTGGAAAAAATTAGTTAGGTCTTACTTATCTATTCTATGTGTTGCAGCAATATGAGTTTTGGTGTCATAATACGTGTGGAAAGTGAAGCCTTTCAGGTGAATATTCCTGAGGTTCTTGTTAACCACCGCTTCTTATTATACTTTCCATAATCTCATTTCTCTGGGTGTTTGCTTCAGGTTCTCAAAGGAGTTCCAGAGAGATCAGAAGTGTCGCTTGTAAGATTGAGAGAGATCAAAAGCAAGATAGAAAGGAAGTCGAATGTACAAGATAGATATGGAAGTACAATATCCGTAAAAGATGTTGTTAAAGTGCTTGATGGTCCTTGCAAGGTGAGTGTCTATATTTTTCATTTGCGTATGCGTTGCATGATTTTTCTGCAACTCGAGCTGAATCTTTTCCTCTTTTAATAGGGGAAGCAGGGTCCTGTTGAGCACATATACAGGGGAATATTATTCATCCATGACCGTCACCACCTTGAACATGCCGGATTCATTTGTGTTAAATCCCAAACTTGCGGTCTTGTTGGAGGATCACGTTCCATTGGTGATAGAAATGTGAGTTCGACTGCTCCTATGTTAAATAAGGTTTTTGTTGTGGTTGATACTTGATTGATATATGGCATTCTCTGAGCTTAAGATTGACATGGGCGTACTGATTTCATAAGGGAAGCTACAAATTGATTAAGTTGGTTTCAGTAATTTCACCTTATAATGCTGAGTTTGAGTGCTTGTTTCTCAGGGTAATGCATACTCAGGGTATGGTAATCTTAAAAACACTCCTCGAATACCCCCTTCACCTCGGAGATTTCAAAGAGGAGGTCCTCCTTTTGAGTGTAAGTAGATGGTTGAGGGTTCAATGTAACTCTCTTTCTCTCGTGCTACTTTTTTTTTCATTGCGGATGCATCATTGCCAACTGGGGAGAAATCTTGTGTTTGACTCTTGAATGCTGTACAGTTGGTGGAAGGGGTAGAGGCGGTAGGGGAGGGCATGATGCCTTGATAGGTACCACCATCAAGATACGGCAGGGACCTTTCAAAGGCTACCGTGGACGTGTGAAAGACATTAAAGGTCAATCAGTTCGAGTTGAGTTAGAGTCTCAAATGAAGGTGGTGACAGGCAAGTAGCTGCGTCCATCTTAGTAATGGGTTTTTTGGTTTCTGTACATTTCTGGAAAAATCTTATGTTTCACCTTGTGTTTTTGTTGCTGTGCAGTTGATCGCAGTTGTATTTCTGACAATGTGGTTGTGGTTTCCACCCCATACCGGTAAAAGTTCTAACATGTATTACTAAAACCTGTAATGCTTTTAAATTTGCAATCTTCTCTAACGTGTAGATTGAATGCCGTGTCAGTGATTCAAGTCGATATGGCATGGGAAGTGAAACCCCCATGCATCCTTCTCGGACTCCGTTGCATCCTTACATGACTCCTATGAGAGACTCTGGTGGTGAGAGTTGCTTTTGTATATACTCCTTTATCTTCTCAGTTGTCACTATACTTGGTGATAGTCACCCTTGATCCTATCATCTCAACAAATGATACTAAATGTTGTGTCGGTTGCATATATGTGTTCATGTTTATGTTTGCAGCTACACCTATTCACGATGGCATGAGAACACCTATGCGCGACCGGGCGTGGAATCCTTATGCACCAATGAGTCCTCCGAGGTTTGGTTCTAACTTTTTTCTGTCTTGTAATACCGTCTTAATATGTGTTTGGGTGTGTTTCTGCATTTGTTTGAAGGTATTTTTTTTTGAAGTTTTTGTAATGAAAAAGTAATTGATTGTTGATAGGTAGTTTGTTTACTAAAACAATAATGACCTAGGTTTTTAGTAAGACTACTACGCTCTAAGAATATGTTTGGTATTTCAAAGAGGACAAAGTTGGGAATGAAATTTTATTAGCGAGGTTGCCTATAACTTTAACTAATGTGTGGGAGTTAGGGTTAATTGTTGTTTTAAAGAGTTGGATGAAAGAAGTGCGTTCGTGTTAGCAAGTTAGATTGTAGAAGTGTGCTTGTTTTTAGCTTGGCAGGCAACTTCTTAAGTTACTTCATACACACCCTTTATCGTTTAGCTGTATAATATTCTTTCATATATGTGTTTAGCGTCAGACACTTGTTTCTTTTTTTATGATATCATATTGCTATATTCTAGGGATAACTGGGAAGATGGAAATCCTGGATCTTGGGGTACTAGTCCCCAGTATCAGGTTAGCTCATCGAATAGTTTCTAGTAAATCTGAAATTCTATTTCTCTTGCTATTTGATGAGAAAAAGATAACAATTATTTTCTTCTTCCAGCGAGGTAGCACTCCGTCGAGAGTGTACGAAGCGCCTACCCCTGGTGGCAATTATAGTGATACTGGAACGCCAAGAGACAGCAGTTCTGCTTATGGTTTGTTGTTTGTCTTCTCAGTTGCAGTTCCTGCAGTTTGAGCAATGTGGTGGATAACATACTTTGTGCTATTCATTTTGTAGCCAATGCTCCTAGCCCGTACATGCCTTCGACTCCTGGGCAGCCTATGACACCTGGCTCAACAGCCTATCTTCCTGGGACTCCTGGGGGGCAGCCAATGACGCCTGGCACTGGTGGTTTGGATATCATGTCTCCTGTTTTAGGTTTGATATTCAGCTTACCCTCTCAATTTTACCGATGCTTATTGAGTTTATCTAGAGATGGCAAATGAGTTGGGTTGGTTGGTTTAAATGGGTTTTTGAGTTCATGCGTGGTTGGTGAAAACTGATAAGGACAGACTCCATTCTGACAAGGTTTGGAGAGGATATTTCAGTCATTTGTTAGATCTAGAGGCTGTCGCTCAAAGTGTAAGAAGTTTGGGTACTGAACTGTAAAGAGTTAGCGGCTGTTCATTAGTTTGTCATTTTGCGATGTTCCTGCTGGATAGTAGTGATTTGTGGTGGCATGCTGTGGCTAAGTTCATCTGATGATGACCTGCAGACAACGAAGGAGGGAGTTTGATGCCAGAGATATTGGTGAATGTACATAGAGGTGATGAATCCCTAGTAGGTGTCGTCCGAGAGGTGCATCCGGTAAGTTGATTGTTGTACAAGCTACATATTTACATTAATGCTTGCAGAGTACAAATTCTGTCCAAGAAGATGATGATGGGTTTTACCATTGTGGGTGTGTGCAGGATGGAATGTGCAAGATAGGGTTAGTAGGGAATGGTGATATGGTGACGGCGATGGCAAGCGATGTGGAGATCGTGGGGCCGAGGAAATCGGACAAGGTGAAGATAATGGGGGGAGCACATCGAGGATCGACTGGGAAGTTGATCGGGGTGGATGGTACGGATGGAATTGTAAAATTAGATGACACTCTTGACGTTGTGATTCTAGACATGGTTATACTAGCCAAGTTAGCCTGAGCATCAGCAAGTCTCTTTTTTTGTTCCACCTTATAGTGCTTTTTAGATGTTTTTTATTCTTGTAAAATCTGGTCAAAGAAAATATGTGTTTCAACGTTATGTCGATTTCATCTTTCAATGCTTGGTGAATAAAACACCTATTGGAACTTGGAAGTTATTGCTGCAGCATTTGGATTTCCGATCCAAGTAGTTCCAAATCCACCTGGGCTAGTCGGAAGAATCTTCATCGGTTCTACAAGCTTATTCATATATAAGTGTTTTTGTTTGTACGTAAAATCAAGTTTGTCAAATATGGTAATATGTCGGTTTAGTAAGTGACATGGTTTGATTTGTTTATGTTGGTTTCGATATAATATTGTATCTCTCTACAATCCACATTCATATTTGAAGAAATTGCAACATTAGTAATGACAAATTCTCATATTTAAATACAAGTTTTATTGTCAACATCAAAATCATTTATATTTAAATGCAATACATAACAAACATCAATATTCATATTTAAATAAATTAGAACACCATGATAAATCACATTTAAATACAAGTTTTGTTACTTAAATTTATTAAAAGTTTAAAACACAATCATTTTGTTTAAAATCGAAAACGGGTTATACCGATTGGACTCCTAATTTTGTCGGTATTGACAAATTTTGACCGGTATTAACTACTATCTCATATCGGGTTCCTCTGGCCAGTTTGTGTAACAAAACCTGTTACTTACATTGACCAAAAAGCCATCAGCCACCAATTGTGGGCACAAAAGAAAACAAGTTGGAAGGAGTAAAAAAAGGTTGAATGATTTCTTCTCGTGGAACAAAACAACACTTTGGATGTGGAAACTGCAAGATGAGATTCTGCCTTTTTGCCCTTTGACTGAGACAAGTGGACTACTCCGCCAGAGAAAACTCATAAAATAGAATCTTTATCTACAAGCAAGTATTGAGTTATTTCCTTCAATAAAAGTCACTACACATCTTTACTTCAATTACACGCAAGACAACTGCAATTTTCCAGCCCTTCGATATCACTCCATTGAAGCCAGTTTCTCCTCATCCACGTCAAAAGCTTTCCTAGCTTGCTTCAGCTCTTCTTGCATGGATAGCAGTTCTGTACACCGGTTGAGCTTCGGTGTGTCCTGCAGTGTCGTTGAGAGTAGAAAGACAAAAAATTATCAAATGCAGAAGGGGTGAACCATAATTGTGCATACATCTTTTATTTGGCAGAGAATAGACATCGTACATAACATAGATATTCCTATTTCAGCTTAAAGTCACAAACAACCAAAACCCTGTCGGAACATAAGGCTCTAAATAGTAAATCATTCCTTTCATCTTGCGCACCCTAAAAACCAACCATGGTAAAGAGCTTGATGACTTGAAGTGCCATGATCGAGACGATCGTATACATTATGAAGAAGTGGCTCTGCTAGGCCTAGTTTCTATGGTTAGCATAGATTGGTAAGCTGGAAAGGACTGCAGACAAAGTACCTTGCGAATCAAGTAGAGGAAATCCTCAATTGATATTTTGCCTCTCTTGGATCCTATATCTTGTGCTTTATGTACCTGAAGGAACGGAAGTACCCAGATTAGGACCCTATTGCTAGCATATGCATTGAAAATTTCCCAGGCTTCTGTTACAAGCAAACTGAATGCTTACCATATCGGTGACATACTCTACAACAATGTCTTCCACAAGTGCCACACTTTCAGGAATCGGCTGATTACAAAGGAAAAAATAAAGCAAATGAATTAAAATCAAAGAAAAAACAAAACACAAGAAGAATCTCAGAACTAGAAAGCTTGTAAGTGAGCCGCAAAAGTCATATCAAATAGTCAAAAACCCCATTCATTATACTCTTAAACATTTAAACGAGGCCAGGGACGGCGCGATATAAAAGTTGTAGCTCATACATACACATACTCTATGGATCCAGATAATCAACTGAATCTTCTCTTGAAGACTCGTTATATCATCCGAGTAATGACACCATAGCAGAATTTTCAAAGATGGGCCCTTAGTTTGCACTTAGAGCTCTCTGATTAGGGAACCTAACAATCTAGAAAGGGAACCTTTAGTACAAACTTGGACTCGGACTCATCATGGGACATCCCTAATCTGTTATTGAGGGCCAAATCACATATGCTTTTCGTTTAGCTTAGTCTAACTAACAGATAACCAGGAAGCAATGCAGACTCTCCCAAATTCTACTAGGTTTTCGGTTCGCAGAAATGCAAGATATTGAAGCTGAATGAAACATCCCTGTCAAGTCACTAATTGAACGCCCCTAGTAAACTATTGTTGTGCCCAGTTCCAAGGTTAATTGGTTATCTCCCAAACCTCCAATGTTTTTAGGATGCAAAGTCTGTAGGAAGACCACCTATGAATTCACACCTTATTTCGCTACAAGATCCTCAACCGAAAGCTAATGCCCGATGCAGAGAGAACCTAAGCAAAACAAACGGGAGATAGTTAAAGTACTAATGAGATGGTAAACTCACATTAGGATCATCTCCAAACCCATACATCATGTGCTGTACTGCAGCAAGGAAGAAATTACAGACACATCAATCACTTTAACACTACTCAATAAACAAAAACCAAAACAGAAATTATGTTATATCCGGCTGCCAGGGCTTACAATCTTTCTGAAACATTCCTCGTTTCCTCTTAACAGATGTTTCTGAAGGCTGTGAGGAACCAGCCTTGGCAGGTTTTGACGATTGCCCTGCAGCACCGGAGCTGCTCATCTTCCCTCGCCCCTCGTATAACTTTACCGAGTTATCACTTCAAAGAACCCTAATTCACTGCAACTTTAGAAAGCGAAACAGATATCTCAGATACTACTAGGGCAATTACACCATCGATATACACAATTGAAGAGCTTCAGTCTCTCATACAAGTAAGATTGAACACCCTACGCAATTCCAAAAATTCAGAAATTATCTTTAATCAGGCTGAACAGAGTAGAATACCTAGGTTTTAAAGACAATGGCCAATTGCAGCTGAAATTGTTCGATGGCGGTGGCAAGAGGAAGAGAGAAATAACCGGCAGGACGGCTTCAAAAGGATGAACTCCAACTCCCTGTACTATTCGGTTTATGATCGCCGAGTTCAAAAGCCTCGGGATTGAGACTGGCCAAGACCGACGGTGGACGGCCGGCGACGAGGAAGCTCTTACGGGCGTCTCTTTTTATTTTAGAAGAATTTTCAATTCTCTCTGTTTTGTATTTAGTATTTACTGTGACGGACGGACGGTGACGGACGGACGGTCCATTAATAAAGGGCTGACGAAGTCTGAAGATCCACAGACTGAGCGGTGTCGTTTCATTCAGTAATCTTAGTCCTTTTTGTTATGGAATATGGAATAATGATCTAAGCCCTTTTTGTTTGCATGTTAGTATGTTTAACTCCAAATATTTAAATCGCAACAATCAAGTCCTTCACCAACAGGGACGCATACTCTCTTGGGTCAGGTTAGGGTTTAAACCTGCTACACTATTCACGGATTGGGTTGACTTTGAGTTTAGGTATACTCGTCCTATGGGTGCCCGTCCACATCCATATAATTAATTTTTCCGGTATTTTTAATATTGTAAGCAATATATCTTCCTTAAACAACTAATCTTCTTTATGTTTGTGTAGACATGTCTTAATATTTTCGTATGGCCTGAACTTTGACCAAAATAAACACTCTGGCCAATCTTTTCGATCTATAACATCCTGGCCCGAACTATACATCAAAATAAACAGTTTGGCCAGATCCGACTTTTGACCGTTAACTTGGACGGTCAAACGTGTTGACTAACGGTCAACGCGCCATGTCACTGCCAACTCATCAAATTTCAATTACATTTTTTAACACTAGAATATATTTCTTGACTGGGTGGTAACGATAAATAATATCATAAGAAAACAAAAATATTGACGATACTATGATGACATCAATGTTTTTTTTTTTCAAAATATTTCAAAGTGTGTATCATCGTGTAGATCTTGTTGAATTTAAATTTGAGTTGAATCGAAAAATTATATAACTCTTTTTCCATTAATGAGGGAAAAAATAAGACGAGAGAAAATCAAATACTTGAATTTCCATTGTAAATTGTGTAGATGTAGAAGTGGTAATTATATCTACATAACTCCAAGGGATTCACCTAATTATACCTAGTACATAGTAATATGGGAATGAGAATATTCGCTACATCTTAGTTCCAACATTAAGGCCAATAAACGACGAAAACGAATTATGTATACACCTCTAAAAGTAAAACACTCCAATCGCCGTGCCTTTTTTACGTTTCCACGTTTATCAATGAGATTCCTTAAATAGGTCTGTCCTTGTCATTATGTAAAAACACGGTTTCTTTATTAATATTGTCTTATTTGGGCAACGTTGAGATGCAGTGTTCTGAGGTCCTAGACTATTAGTACAATCGGCTCTTGGAATTTGCAGAGGCATGCAATGATCAAGCAAAGCTTCGCCGGTTCTTTATTGTTACCTCCAATTCTTTTGGTAAAAGAAACTTTTTTGTGCCAGAGAAAAGCATAAGCTACAGCAAAGATAAAATATTTACAGCAAGCAGTATTTGATCGGCCATGTGCATGTGTTAATTATGCATCCCCAAAAAACCCATCAGCTATTCATATCAACGGACTTAATTAGGAAGGATACTGTTCCAGAGAAATTTTGGAGGCTACAAGTCTAAGCTAATGAGTTCATTTTGTATCGTCACAAAAGAAGTAATTATTTATATTGTAAACAGTATAAATATATGTTTGTACATTAAGAAGAAAACCCATGTGCAACTGCTAATGTAAAAATGGAAAAAAGAGAGATCAGGGAAAGTAGGAAAACAGGGGAAACCAACAAAGAAAGGTTAAAAATAGAACACAAGCCAGGAGACTATTATTTTCCTGCACAGCTGCACTTAGTTGATGTAAAAACAAATTCAGTGATGCTTTGGTGATAGAACCCAATATCTGCTCTATATAACTGAGCGGGCGAACCGCGGTGAAAAAAGTTCACCACAATCCATCTTAGCTTCTTCTCCTAGTTTATAGCTTTATTTATCACCATGAATCTCAAATTCTCGAGCCTGCCTTCTTCCTAGCCCCTCTCCATGCCAATATAAAGTCTAAACACACTTTCTGTATTTCTTTAAGAAGTTTCTTGGGGAGGCATGCTTTACTTTTACCAAGATGTTGCCCTTTATTAATGAGATTTCTTAAATAGGTCTGTCTCCGATCATAGGTTGGTCCTTAGGCATATGTCAAATTAAAACACGGTTCTTTATTAATACTAGAATGGAAGCCCGCGCTTCGCGACGGGATAATCACTTTCCGTGAAATGCGATTATTTGAGATAACATGAACGCTCGCTATTCAGTGATATATGGTCGGAAAAAGCGGGTAAAATGCGTTCTCGACCCAATTCAGTGATTACAAAAGGGGATAAAATACATTCACGGCCCCAAAGTGTCAAGGGTAAAACTCCTCCTCGACCAAAAATTTGTCGAGTCAACTCGATAAATCAGGACGAGTTTTTAACAAAATCCACACCCGGCCCAATTCGTCAATTACAGAAGCGGGTAAAATTTGTTCCCGGCCTAAAATTCGGCAACACTGATACCGGGTCGGATTATCTTGAACACACATGAATTTGGATTCAATTTTTATAAGAGGAAATATTTTAAACACTTGATTAATGACCTAGTTCGGTTATTACAAAAACGGGTAAAATTCGTTCCCGTCCTAAAATTCGACAACATCGATACCGGGTCGAATTAGTTTGAAAACACATGAATTTGAGTTCAATTGTCATAAGAGAAAATATTTAAAATATTTTATTAATGACCCAATTCGTTAATTCCAAAAACGGGTAAAATTTATTCCCGGCCTAAAATTCGGCAACACTGATATCGGGTCGGATTATCTTGAACACATAAGAATTTGGGTTCAATTGTAATAAGAGGAAATATTTTAAACATTTGATTAATGACCCAATTCAGTTATTACAAAAGCGGGTAAAATTCGTTCCCAACCTAAATTCCGACAACACCGATACCGGGTCGAATTAGCTGAATTTGGGTTCAATTGTCATAAGAGAAAATATTTAGAACATTTGATTAATTAATAAAAACTTTAACATTAAAACAATCCTAGTTGATGTGACTATGAAATAGTAATTAACAAACTTGGGCTCAATTGTCATAAACTAATTAATTAGAACTTCAATGACATTTAAATCCCTCCAAGTTTTGACTAATTACAAAAGGATCACATGTCTGATGTGACTCTAAGTAATAGCGCCATCTTTACTTGTTCTTTTAATATGATGATGATGATAATTGTCTTATTTGGGAAACGTTGAGATGCAGTGTATTCTGAGGTCCTATTGACTATGCAATGTAATTAAAAAAGCAATGACGGCATTAGGGCATGCAATGATCAAGCAAGGCTTCGCGGTTTCTTTAATCATATATACATGCAAACTTTGTTCTTCAAAGTAAAGTTAGAAGTTACATTGTTGTCTCCAATTGTTTTGGTAAAAGAAACTTTTTGTGCCAGATCGAGAAAAGCATAACCTACACCAAAGATAATATATTTACAGCAAGGGGTATATGATCGGCCATGTGCATGTATTAATGCATCCCCAAAAAATCCATCACCTATTCATATCTACGAGACTTAATTAGAAAGGATATATAGAAAACAGTATATATATATATGTTTGTACATTAAGAAAACCCATGTGCAACTGCTAATGTAAAAATGGAAAAAAAGAGAGATCAGGGAAAGTAGGAAAACAGGGAAACCAACAAAGAAAGGTTATAAAATGGAACACAAGCCAGGAGAGAGGAGACTATATATTTCCTGCACAAATAAAGCTGCACTTAGTTGATGTAAAAACAAATTCAGTGCACCTTTCCAGCACTTTCTTCTAATATGGTGATGCTTTGGTAATTAACCCAAACTCCGCTCTATTTAAAGAGGGCGAACCGCGGTGGAAAAAAGTTCACCACGTACAATCCATCTAGCTTCTTCTCCTAGTTTATAGTTTTCATCACCGTAAATCTCAAATTCTCTAGCCTGGCTTCTTCCTTGTTCTTGTGCTCATCATGGTGACCTCAAACCTCTTCAACAACGCTACTGGAAATGGACTCCAGGTCGAGTTCTACAATTTCTGTTCAATTTCACAGGGAAGTCGGGACAGCGACCCGGCCGGCCATAAATTCCAGCTTCCTCTGACAGCTAAAATCAGCATGCCCTTTGGGCCGGAGAATGTTCGACAGGCTGCCGCTGGACTTGTCGTCCGACTTCACGATACGTTCGACGACCGGAGCCTCCGAAACATCGTCAACGGGTCTCCGCTGTGCTCGCCTCGGATGCGCGGCTCGTCGACGACACCGCGACACCCGACGGGCTCTACGGTCCTATGTTGGGCCGGCACGTGGTCATCAGACGGCTTTTGGGCCGGACTTCGCAGCATCCATGGTCGAATCGGGCTCGGTGGGCGTTAAAACGGGCCGCGCAGGAGAAATACGAAGGAAATGCGGGCCGGACAGTTAGTTAACCTGGCCGCATTTCCTTCGTATTTCTCCTGCGCGGCCCGTTTTAACGCCCACCGAGCCCGATTCGACCATGGATGCTGCGAAGTCCGGCCCAAAAGCCGTCTGATGACCACGTGCCGGCCCAACATAGGACACAGAGCACGTCGGGTGTCAACGGTCGTCGGCGAGGCGTGCAGAGCACGGGCACAGCGGACCCGTTGACGATATGTTCCGAAGGCTGCGGTCGTCGAACTTGAACTCCGACGACCAGTCCAGCGGCAGCCGGTCGAACCCTCCTTCGCCCAAAGGACATGCTGATTTTAGCTGTCGGAGGAACCATAATGGTTCTGTTATTGTTGATTATTAATTGATCGGGTGCTAGGTATTTCGTGAACTTTTTCCTGTTTGGGTAAAATTACACTTCCACCTACTGCTTCCCCTCTTATACAATGATCGGATGCTTCATTATTGTTAATTAGCTTTTACCCATATATATATGTTTGCCTATAATTTTCACAATTTCAGTATTCTGTCCCACGGTGTCTCTTATGTCACACTTTATCTTTGTCCTGGTACTCACGCGAAACAAGAGAAATGAAAGTGAACACTAATGCTTTATTAATTTATTTAGAAGACATGATATTTCAAACCACTATTTTGCAGCATACTATTTGTGACGCAAACCTTACAATTTATCCCTACCTCAGTTTCATTTCACTGCAGCTTCCGCAACTGTACGTGTTTATCACAACTTCCAGCACATCTCCAACTCCCCCATCTTCCAAAATTTTAAAAATCTAATGTTCGCTGGAAAAATTTCTTCAAAACTGGTCGTAGCGCGGAAAAGTTTAGCCGGCGGCGACCTGACCAAGCCAAAAATTCTGGGTAGTTCGAAACCAGGCTCAGGCTGGGCCGAAACTTTCCAACCTCGGGAAGTTTGTCGGGCCAGAAGGATTCCAACGGCATAAACCAAACAGGGCCGAACGGTTTTTCAGCTGGGTATGATTACCGACCATGGAATTTCTTCTGCTCGGCGAGGTTTATTTTTCTGTTCGATCAAGTCGTCGTTGGCCAGAATTTTTGGCCAGGCTAGTTTGATCGGTCACCTTTTCATGCCTAGTGGTTTTTAGGTGTATAGAGGTTAATAAATTAATTAGGTAAGTAGTTGATGACATTTATTAATCATTCGTCTAAAGATCCATCTCGAATTGCACTTTTTCATTTAGCAATGTCTCAGGGTAATCATTCTCACTCTCCATGCACTTAGAACTCGCGGAGTTAATTACCATATTATATATGTCGGAAACACCGCAAGACCATCGAACATCATTTATTTATATCTCCCCCTAGCGAACACAATCTCTGGTCTTTATTGGGACTGGAAAAACTAATTCAATCGATCCTGAGTTCCAAATTCAGTTTCTGGTGGCATCGCTTCCTGCACTCTGATCACTCGCAAATGCAAGTTCACCAGTGTGTGTCTCTTATGGAGGATTTGGAAATCTCGCAACATGGCATATTTTTAGCTCACTCAATTACACCCAAAATTCTTGCTCCTCGATATTCCTTTTAAGTCCGAGAATTTTCATCCTTCTTCTTCTTCTCCCCTCTTCCTTTCAACTGTCCTCCCCCAACCTGTTTGGTGACCTCCGCCGACAGGGTTATGAATATTAATTTTGATGTCATTGTTCGACATGATGCTTATTCGAGACTCTGGTGAATTTTTACTTTTGATAAAAGATTTCTTCACCGTGGGATCATAGATCACTATGCTACAGAGCTTCTTGTAGTCCGGACAATCATTTTCCTAGCAACGGCTCGCCAAATTGCCAAGGTGGTAATTGAAGACGACTCTGAAATAGTCATCATCAACTCAAGAAAGTTATTCCGTCTGATGTTTTAAATGGCCTCCTCTTGCGCGATTATCTTCACCTAAGGTCCTCCTTCCCCTTCGCTATAGTTTTTAGAGTTGTTTCTCAAATCGTTAATTGAACTGCCGCTAGAGTAGCACGTAAAGTCCTTTCATTATCTTATGTAGAGCTAGCGTCCATAAGTTTTAGAGTCCGGTTTTTGTAATAGCGAGGTCTTCAAGCGTAAGGACGTTTGGGTTGTTTTATCTACTTATTTTGTTCTTTCTTAACATATCTCTGGAAAACTCTCCTTGATACAACTTTAATTACTGCTGCTAGTTTAATGATAGATTCACATATCTACACATCAAAGATCATTTCACTCTTTGAAAAGTAAGACCTTGAATGCCCTTAAGAGATTAACAATTTTACCAAGATCCATTGAACTTGATTCGCCGAGCATTCGGACAGAGTCCTCCACAACGTAACAATCCCCTTGCGTGACGAAATACTAAACATTCAGCTGGGGGCGGTAGCCGGTAACTAAGAAACACTGCACATTTAACACAGAACAGAGTGAGATCCTTACCATAGTTGGTTCAATGAAAGCAGAGAAGACAAAACCAATTGGACACATGGTGGGAGAGAAGAGCAAAAACAAACGGCATGCACATTTCTTATTGCCACATCGATTCGCTGTACCCTTAAAAAGTCATCACCGCCACCACCACCATCATCATCAGCATTCGTCTCCCTCTAATTTAAGCCGTTACAAAGTCAGAATATTCCTCCATCCCACTTTCCCCTTTCCCACACATTTCTTCATCGATCACAAAATGCTCTGTTTCAGACTCCATACCTCTGCTCTCTTGATCTTTCACCTGATTCTGTTACTAATCGTTGCTTCCAATGGGCAGCAGCAGCAGCAGCAGCAGCTCCAATTGGGTTTCTACTCCCAGAGCTGCCCTGTCGCCGAAGTTACAGTCCGCGTCGCGGTCAAACAAGCCGTCGAAGCTGACAAGTCCGCCGCCGCCCGATTGCTCCGCCTCTCCTTCCACGATTGCTTCGTCGAGGTTTGTTCATTCGTCTAACTGAACAACAAAGTTAATTTCTTTTCCAATTCTGAGTGATGGGTTCTGCTTCGATTTTGGAAATTTCTGGCAGGGATGTGATGGGTCGATTTTGCTGGAGACCAGCGACGGCGAGAGGCAGGCGCCGGGGAATGCAGGGCTCGGCGGTTTCAATGTGATTGAAACGGCCAAATCGCGGCTGGAGTCGCTCTGCCCGGGTGTCGTCTCTTGCGCGGACATTCTGGCTTTAGCTGCCAGAGATGCTGTTGCCTTGGTACTCTCAATCCTTCATCTTTTTCTCCCTTTCTGGTTCTGAAAATCTGAATGGTAATTAATCATAATAAATGTAGGCCGATTGATTTTTACAAAATGACAGAGCAACGGACCGAACTATGACGTGCCGACGGGGAGAAGGGACGGCAGAGTTTCCAGCCGGAGCCTCGCCAACAATTTGCCAGATGTCAATGACCCAATTGAAGTTCTCACATCGAAATTCCGTGCCAAGGGAGTGTCCATCAAGGATTTCGTCCTTCTCAGCGCAGGTATACGAAATTGGCCTAACGATTATAAGTCGTATTTTAGCTAAGTCGACGCTGGAGGTAATCACCCATGGGTTTGTTTTTTTTAGTAATTTGTTCTTGTTCGCTATACTCCTACATGTTGCTGGGCGTTGGATTAGAGAATAACAATAGTCAAAATTAGAAATGTTAATGAGTAGACTTACGTAATTGACCCAATTGTTATAATCCATCGGTATTGGATCGAACCATATGTATTTTTTAATGATTTTGAGTTTGGGTTGAGTCTGAATTCAGTTCTATTTGAATTAATTTATTTGGGTTAAACTCAAATGAGTCTAGTTGGGTCTAGATGATTGTACATAACAAAGAAATATGTTAGATTTCATTATCTACGTTCAATCGAACCCAATTATAAACCTTTAATTTAGGTGATTCCACCTTTTTTTCATAACAAAAATAAGACAAAAATTGCACTATAATTGGGTAGCTATCTTCATTTGGACGTCCAATACTATGAGTTCAATTTTAACCTAAACTAAAAAATTGAATAAACGAATGTTCAAAAATAAAATTATTCAAACTTAATTCGACCTATAATAAATTTGGTTTGAACAATACACAAATATTTGATCTTTTTGTCCTATAGGAATGTTCAAAATAAAATTATCCGAACTTGATTCGACCTATAATAAGTTTGGTTTAGAAAATACACAAATATTTTGATCTTTTGTCATCCCTAATCCAAATTATGTCGTCGGGTTGATTCAACGGCGTGGATACTCTCCTCACTTCTCAGCATGATAAATCTAGTGTGTCGCACATTATTTCAGGTGGGCACACAATTGGGACGACGGCGTGCTTCTTCATGCCCAAAAGGCTCTACAACTTCACCGGCCGGAGCGATTCCGACCCGGCCCTAAATCCACAGTTCCTGCCGCAGCTTAAATCGAAGTGTCCCCCCGGCGGCAACGTCAACGACAGGCTGGCTCTCGACTGGTCGTCGGAGTTCGCTTTCGACGACCACATCCTTGGCAACATCCTGAACGGGTCCGCCGTCCTGGCGTCGGACGCGCGGCTGGTGGACGATCGGGGAGCCAGGCAAGTGCTGGAGTCCTACGTCGGAGGAAGCGAGAAGAAGACGACGTCGTCGTTTGGGGCGGATTTTGCTGAGGCGATGGTTAGGATGGGGAATATCGAGGTCAAAACGGGATCGCAGGGAGAAATCAGGAAAATATGTAGCAAAGTCAATTAATTTATAATTTAAGAAAGAAAATAATCATTTTTGTTCACGTCTGTATAAGTATAAAGTATTTGTTTTTTTTTTTTTTGACAAATCATTTCAACTTTTATTCCACCATAATCAATTTCACACACAAGCTTTTACAAATTTAGAGGAGAACAGAAATTAGATCAAGAATATTAATCCAGTCTTCTGGTAGGATAGATTTGGCCTTTGATCGTGCAACCCAATCAGCTCTGACATTCATTGTCCTCGGGACTTCTTCCACTGAAATGGCTGGGTTATTCCT